GTGTGTGTGTGTTTTTGAGAGAGGGTCACTAGTCCCAGCTAGCCTTGAACTCACAGAGATCTGCCTGCCTCTGCCTCCCAAGTGCTGGGATTAAAGGCATGCGCCACCATACCCAGCACACCTACATTTTTTTTTTTTTTTTTTAAAGGCAGGCTTGTGTTCTGGTAATGGGGGCAGATCCCTGGAGTTCCAGCCAGCATAGCCTACTTGGTGAATCCCAGGCCAGTGAGAGACCATGACTCAAAAGTTAAAAAGAGGGCTGGAGCGATGGCTCAGCAGTTAAGAACACTGTTCTTGCAGAATACCCAGGTTCGATTCCCAGCACCCACATGGCAGCTAACAAACTGTAACTCCAGTTCCAGGGGATCCGATAGCTTCTTCTGTCCTCCACAGGCACTGCATGACATGGGTGCACTTACATTCATGCAGGCATAACACTCATAAAAATATTTTTTATAAAATATAAGTAAAAAAGGATTTACAGGGCTGGAAGATAACTCAGCAGTTAAAAACACTAGAAGAGGACCTGAGTTCAGTTCCCAGCCATCTACATGGTCACTCACGACCATCTAGAAAACTCTCAGTTCCAGGGGATCTGAGGCCCTCTTCTGACCTCTGGGCATCAGGCATATACATAGTACACATACACACACAAACACTCATAAAAAAATAAAAAAACCAAGATTCACCCTACCGGGCATGGTGGCACATGCCTTTAATCCCAGCACTCCAGAGGTAGAGGCAGGTGGATCTCTGCCTACATAGCGAGTTTAGGCCAGCTGGGGCTACCGGGAGACCCTGTCTCAAAAAGACTAGGGAAAAAAAAAAAAAGATTCACAGCTATAATTCCAGCATCTTGGAAGCTGAGATAGGACAACTACCACAAATTTGAGGCAAGTGTGGGCTACATAGCAGACTGCAGTGTAAGACCCCATCTCAAAAACATACACAAAATTAAAAGGTGGACAGTATCCCAGGGACAGGCTGTCCTTTAGTCTCCATGTGCACGCATGCACACACACAAACTTATTTAAAGCAGACACAGAGAAAATACTCAAGTTAAACTTCAGTACGTGATTATTAAGGGAGATAGGGCTTCTTGTGCAGCTAAGGACATGGCTCAGCAGGTAAAGTGCTTGCCATGTAAGCAAGAAGAATGTTAAAATAATCCCCATCACCTACATAAATGCCAGGACATGGTAGCCCCACCGTAACTTCAGCACACGGAAGACAGAGACAGAAATCCCCTGAGCAAGCTAACTAGACCAGCCATACTGGTAAGCTCGGGGTTCTACTGAGACCCTGCCTCCATGAATAAGGAAGAGTACTCAAGGAAGATCCTCCAGTGTTAGCCTCTACACTCACACTTGTGTACCTGCACATACAACATGCACCCACATGAGCACACATCATGTACACATACATGCCCAAAAGAAAAAAGCCTCTCAGTATTAACTACATACTTCATACTGAACTATGTTCTTTGAAGGCAGAATCAACTTTAAAACACATGCTATGCCAGGCACATAGTTATGGAAACTGAAAATAAAATTCCTTCCTTAAGGCCCCCAGTAATCATATTTATTTAAATCCATAATTATAGAAACTTTGAGTATGTTCAGTATATACAAATAGGGAATAGGGAAGGTGGGTTTGAACTGTATCCTGAAAAACTTCTGAATAGTTACAAAGTAATACCTACAATTCACTCCACTCCCATGTATCCAGATTAAGATAGTGAAGATCATTCATTCTAACATCCTAAAAAAGAGTAAGTAAATAGTTATCATTTTGAAGAATCCAAAAGCAAGTCATTAAAGCTGTCTGTGTACTCACTCGGTATCTGCCACCAAACACAAAGCCCTTGTTTCCAACAGTTGCACAAGCATGAGCAGCACGAGGTGAAGGGGCTTTACCCTATTAAAAAATTGTAAGAATAGCTTAATAAACTTTATAAACAGGGAAAATACCTGTCTTTTTTGAATGTAGGATAAGAATATACCAAAATACTCAGGCTTGTAAAAGCTGATACCAGGCTGGAGAGACGGCTCAGCAGTTAAGGGCACTGACTGCTCTTGTGAAGGACCTGGGTTCCATTCCCAACACCTAACACATCATGGCTGACAATCATAGATAACTCTAGCTCCAGGGGATCTAATACCTTCTGACCTCTGCAGACATTGCACAACACAGGTACACTTACACACATATAGACAATAAACTCATACATATAAAATATAGTAAAAACTGATGCCACGACTGAGAATTTTACTATTTTTGAGATGTGTCAGAATAAGCTAGTTAGTATATTATTTTTAAAAAATAAAGACTGGCACATTATACCTGTATAAGAAGGAAAGGAAATCAAATCTTTCAGTAACTTAAGTTTTGATTTAAAGCTAGATTTATTTACAAGCAAATGAAGCGTCTGCACAAGGTCTCTTAACAAGTTAAGACTCTTCAGTTACTCACAGTAGTTATGGGCTGGCTCCAGGTAAATGTGTCAGTGTCTAAAATATGTACATGATCATTCCATCCTCTTGGATGACTTGAATTCTAGAGAAAAGAGTTATTTAAAATTATACAACCCTTGTCCAATTTATTAAGTAAAATGATCAAAACTACTAGTGAACATAAGATACGTGTGTGGGCTGGAGAGATGATTTAGCAACTCAAGACGCCTGCTGCCAAGCCTGATGACCTGAGTTCAATCCCCACCTGGTAGAGAGAACTGACTCCCCCAAGTTGTCCTCTGACCTCTACATATAACACACTAAATTTTCAAGATGCAATAAAAAAATAACATGTATTATTTCAACACAGTAAATACACCTTGTGTAAATATGAAACTTCACCTACCCAAAAAGACGTTTCATCAAATTCAAAAGTTCCCAATACTTTATCTTCAGGCAAATATCCATATCCTCCAAAAAATATTAGCCTGTTTGATACAAAACAAAGACATTAAATATTCAAGCACCTATAAGCTAGGACAGGAGGGATTTTTCTTATCTTGATAAATGGTACAAGTTGTGTATATGCAAAACTCACATAATAATGGCTAACATGACTATCAGCTAGATTCTAGGTGCTAAGTTAAATGAGCTATGTATTGATTTACTTCATCTTCATTTGAGCATACCCTAATGTGGTATGCTGTATGCATACAATTCTCACTGACTAGGGCACTACAGATTCTGCACAAGAGGCCAAACTTATTGTGCTCCTGACTTACTTGCTTTTATATACCCAGACACCAAGTTTGTCCTTTGACGATGGAGGAATTCCTTGGCAATCAATTCTTTCCCACTGTAACACTCTGTCTGCAGACCTTGAATCCAGCATGTAGAACTGTCACAGAAGCAATGATTTCAATTAGGTTTTGGTTATGCAGAAAACAATGTCAGCATTTACTTGTAGTGTGATTGTGATAATAAAAGCATCACCTAATTCAGTATTACTGAGTAAGAATGCAGACTGGCTGCTACACTGTTCTGGGTCAAGTCTATGAACTTGTAACAAAAAGTACAGTACTTTAAAAAAAAAGTAAATAAATCACTAATGACACTTTTTTGATGTTCAAGTACTTTTGTTTCCATTAGTTACACTTTTATGACAAAGGAACTGGTTATGTGTTCATTTGTATCTTGGCACAAGCTCCTAATCTTGCCTTAACCTTGGATAAGCAGTGTGAATTTTACTGATTTAATTTATAGCAAGACCATATTACCAAAAAACTAAGTTTATCAAATTTACATTCAAATTCAACCTTAATAGAAATGTCTTCAAGGAGCTACATGGTCAGTCAATACTTATAAAGGTTAAATACTCGTCTATCATTCTAAGGGCTCACATCCAGGTAACTGATCATACACACAACACACTTCACTTTTCTAAGTCACCCAAGCTTCCTTTTAAAATGTCAAACATAGACTACTCAACTAGTTGTTTCAGTTACTATTACTGTTTCTGTGACACCCTCCACCACAAACCAGTTTCTCTCCCTAAGCTTCAGGTTGTGTCAGTTACTTTTCCTCCCCTTGTCTGTGTGTTTAGACAGGGAAAGAAGGGGTTTTCTGGAGCTTACCTCACACCATGTGCTCTTCCCAGGTAGCTCAAAGAAGTCCCTAGTTTTTTCTTTTTTTAATTTTCAAATTTTGTTATTTTTATTTTATGTATATACATGTATTGCCTGTGTGTAGGTTAAGTGCACCTGTGTCATGCAATGCCTGAGGCGGTCAGAAGAGGCTGTCAGATCCCCGGGGACTGGAGTTATGTCTGGACAGCTGTTAGCTGCCATGTGGGTGCTAGAATTCAAACCCGGGTCCTCTGCAAGAACAACCAGTGTTTTTAACCGCTGAGCCATTTCTCCAGCCAGAAATCCCTAATTTCTAGGAACAGTTTGAAACCATTTCAGCCATCTGTTCCTCATGTTTCCTCGAATAAGACATGTCTGCGTGTCTCTGTGCCGTGACTAACGGTTCTTTATTTTTCTTTTTTTGGTCTTTTTGAGACAGGGTCTCCCTGTAGCCCCAGCTGTCCTGGAACTCACTATGTAGACCAGGCTGGCCTTGAACTCACAAAGATCCACCTGCCTCTGCCTCCCAAGTGCTGGGCTTAAAGGCATGCGCCACCACGCCGGACTGACGGTTCTTATTCAATTCAAGCATGACCTCTTGGGTAAGCATTTGTTTTCCCCCATCTTACAAGCTCAACATCAATTACTTCCAAAATCAGAGTTGTTATTGTGCACCAGGCTTGGTACCTCTTACAATAAGATGGATGTACTGCACTCATTTAAGCCATTTTCTTTTATGTGTTCCTTCCAAATGTGACCTCCTGAGGTTGGAAATGTATCGTCCATCTTTATGTCTCCAACGGCTTTGTACTCAGCATACAAGGTGCTTACTAAGTTGAAAATAAATGAACTGATAGGAGTCTATCTATATGCTATGTACCTTTCTGAAACATCATTTGTCTTTTATTTGCCTGAAGAGAGCTGACATCCTTTTTCCTATTTGGTAAAAAATATAGCCAAAATCTGAACAGCAATGTCTTAGGGAGACACATTAGAGCAATGTTACTGTTTAAATTTTTTTTCAGCATTAATTTATCCCTATGTTCTTCTGAGTTCATCTTTATCCTCTCCAAATTCTGTGTCTATAATGTTCTTTTAAATTTTTTTCTACTATTAGCCAGGTGTGGTAGTGCACACCTTTAATCCCAGCACCCGGAAGGCAAAGGCAGGCAGAGCTCAGTGAGATCAAGGCCAGCTGGGGCTACAGGGAGACCCTGTCTCAATTCAGTATTTAAAAAAAAAAAATTTTTTTTTTCTATTAACATTGACCTACTACTCATGGTTAAGAGAGCACATAGGTTGCCATCATAAATTGATTTTACAAAAGGTCTAGGTAAGCCCAGGCTGGTAAATACTAAAATGCACATTCACACCACAATCAAGTACGTATTCAACTGGAATACAAATAAGAACAAGTCTAAGGTTAGAAATCTGAGGTGGTCTGAAAGTAAGGAAGGACAAAATTGCCTTGAACCATAGCCCTTGGAAAACACTAACCTTATTTGTATTGCCCCTTGAATGGTGTCCTCCAAACAAGTACAGCACCCTGTCTACACACACAGCACAGCTTCCCGACATAGAAGGAGGAACATCACCTTCAGTGTTGAGTTTTTTCCTAAGGGGGGAAGGGTGAATATAAGTTTTACGAAAGGTAAAAATATAGTATGAATTCTTCTATTTACATCCCTACAATAGCAAAGGCAAAGGAATGAGCTTTCCCCCTCTTACCTGTTCCACACACAGTGGAGGTGGTCTTGTACACAAGCAGAATTAAGAGGTTCTGAAAGCCTGTCAAACATTTTATGAACCATCTCTCTAAATAGTTTGCTTTTTATTTACATGGTTGTAACTGGCTCTTTTGGATTTTGTTTTACATTCATGTGTCTGTGTGTGTGTACCCATGTCACAGCATACCTGTGGAGGTCAAAGGACAACTTGCAGGAGCTGGTTCTCTTCTTCTACCATGTAGGTTCTGGGGATGGAGCCCAGGTGTCAGGCTTAGTGGCAAGCACCTTTTATCTACTGAGACATCTTCCCACCTGTTTCATTTTTAAGTAGGCCAAAACCCAAAAGGAAAACTTCAACATTCCCAGTGTTGGCAGATTAATTCAATAGATACTGTTTATTCAGTCACTTTTTAGCCATTTAAATAAATCTCATGCTTCAGTCGTGATTGGTTATTTATTATCTGCCAGGTACTTATGAATGCTTTCTTTTTATCAACTCATTTTTGAATCTAAGTTTTAAAACTAAGAAAAGCCAGTGTGGTGGCTCACGCCTATAGTCCCAGCACTTGGGAGGCAGAGGCAGGTAGATCTCTGTGAGTTCAAGGCCAGCCTGGTCTACACAGTGAGTTCCAGGACAGCTGGGGCTACAGGGAGACCCTGTCTCAAAAAGACCAAAAAAGAACGAATCAGAGATTCATGATATGTGTGTATATGTATGAGTATGTTTTAAGACAAGGTCTCACTATGAAGCTGGTCTTGAACTCACAGAAACCTGCCTGCCTCTGCCTCCCAAGTGTTGGGATTAAAGGTATGTACCACCATACCTTTAGAGAGTCACAATTATTAATAGTATATTTAAGGCCTCCTGCCTGTACTTCTAGATGCAGTTATTATCACTTTATCTTTGCTTAGTTTGACACAGGCTTAGTTTTTAATCTTTTTTTTTAAATTTTATGTGTATGAATGTATTGCCTGCATGTATGTGAGTGCACCCGTGTCGTGCATTTCCGCAGAGGTCAGAAGGCGGCTTCGGATTCACCTGGAACTGGAGTTAAGGATGGTTCGTAGCCGCCATGTGGGTGCTGGGAATCAAACCTGGGTCCTCTGCAAGAGCAGTTGGTGCTCTTAACCGCTGAGCCAACTCTCCAGCTCCTAGTTTTTTAATCTTTAAATTATTTATATCTTATGTGTATTAGTGTTTTTGCCTAAGTGCACCAGGGTTGTGCAATGCCCACGGAGGCCAGAAGAGGCAGAAGAGGGTGTCATATCCCCAGAAACTGGAGTTATATAGGTGGCTTGTTAGCCAATAACTGCCATGTGGTTTCTAGGAACCCAATCCTCTGTAAAAACAGAAAGTGCTCTTAACCACTGAACCATCTCTCCAGCCCCTAAATTCTTAATCTTGGGAAATATGAAGAATTCCTCTATTGGGAATTATACTTTTATAAATTTCCAGTCCTTTCCTCTGAAAAAAAAGATTAATAGCTTGTATTTGCACTGATTTGCTATTTACAGAAATAATCCTGACCTATTTAAAAATCAAGTAGACTGCCATTTCTGGTTCTAAGATCAACAGTAAAAAAGATGCTGAGCTCTTATCTAATCCTTAAAAGATTTTAGGGTTACCTCTTCAGAGGGGGGAAATGTTAAGAGTAGCAAAAAGCCCCATTTAAAAAAAAAAAAAGCCAGGCGCATGCCTTTAAGCCCAGCACTTGGGAGGCAGAGGCAGGCGGATCTCTGTGAGTTCAAAGCCCACCCGGTCTACATAGGGAGTTCCAGGACAGATGGGGCTACAAAGAGACCCTGTCTCAAAAAGACCAAAAAAAAAAAAAAAAAAGAGAGAATACATGAAGTTGTTCTGGAGAAAGTGATGGGGGGGATATGTGAGGACTTGGAGAGGGTGAGTGGGCATGGATTTGATCAAAACTCCTTATATGCTTATATGAAATTCTCAATAAATTTTTTTATAAGTTAAATTGAGATGGCTCAGCGGATAAGAACAGTGAATGTTCTTACAGAAGACCCAGGTTCAGATCCAAGCATTCACATGGCAGCTAACAACTGTCTGTAACTCCAGTTCTAGGGGATCCAACACCCTCTTCTGACCTCCATGGGCATTGTATGACATGGGTGCACTTCATACATGCAGGCAATACATGCATACAAATGGGAAAAAAAAAAAAGATAGTAAAGAAAAACGTTTCGTTTGTTTTTAAGCATAAAGTTCTCATAAAACAAACTACAGGGAAAACTACTTTATGAATCCCCCAAAAGGCTACCCCAATATTTTGAGAAACACATCAAGTCTACTAATAACGCCCTTGATTACTACTACTAGTAGACTGGCAAAGGACTCTTTCAGATTATCACCAGTTTATATAGAAGAAAACTTAAGTTCTTTTTTCTTTTTTTCCTTTCTGAGACAGGGTCTCCCTGTAGCCCCAGCTGGCCTGAAACTCCCTATGTAGACCAGTCTGGCCTTGAACTCACAGAGATCCACCTGCCTCTGCCTCCTGAGTGCTAGGATTAGAGGCATGCACTACCATGCCCAACTTTAAGTTCATTTTTATTTTAAACAGAACCAACCATTTTTTTCTTCCCCTGGTGGTGGTGATAAAACCTAAGGCCTCATGCCTAGGAAGCAAGCACTTTACCACTTTTTATAACAACATCCCAGAAAATACTATTTTTAAAAAGAGTTGCATAAATTTTTGAGCAGATAAAATTGCAAGTCATGTAAAATCCTCTTCTTAGTCTAGATACTAAACAACAGACAACTAAAAATTGTATATAGAACTTTTAGTATCTTTCCACTCCAGGTTCTTTATATTTACTTCTTGGTACTTTACAGAGCCCTAACTAGAAACTTCTAAGGTTTTCAGAATATCTAGTATTTACTAAATTCAGCAAGTTATCTTAACTAGAATGTTATTTTCAGACTATACAGACAACTTAACATCCTTAATCCCAACATTTTTATTCATTAAAATAAGTTTTCAACTTCCACTGCAACCTTATTTCAAGTTTTTAAGAGTGTCAGCCCCCACCCAATATTCAATTACCATCTTCCAGTCTCCATGTTGTAGATCCATAGTTCTTCTCTGGGCAGATAAAAGTCATATAATCCTCTCACTTGATTACTCTACGAAGAATCAGAGATTGCAAATATAAATGATACTTTAAGGACTAATTATGCATGATCTTGGTCATAAAATTTTTATAGACTTATTATTAATCTTCCAGGACCCTACCACAAACTCATGCTTAATATAGACAGCCCTTCGGTCTTTTGACACAGCACATGCAAGTAGCACAGGTGTCAGGGGTCCTCTGAGGAATCTCTAAAGCCATATGTAGCATGTAGGGACCACGCACCTCATTTCAGCTCTATGACTTTGGAAGACTTGGGTCATGACCAGCAGCACACTGTTCAAGGGCCTGGGTGCTAACAGGGTGTTCTAGCCAAGCTTTTCTTTCATCCCATTTTTCTCTGATGGTGGAACTACAAATATGCAAATACTGAGTCTAATTGAAAACTCTTACATTCCTTGTTCTTTTCTATTTCCCTTCAGGTACTAACTCCTTACAAAGACCCACGGTTTACCATGTGTCTATGCTGCTCTATTTAATCCTCACAACAAAAAATAGTTGGCATTACAAGAAAATGGGTTTTTAAAGTATAATTTGCCTAGGGTTATTAAAGAAGCAATGATGCAACCAGGAATCTTCCTTTCCCTAGACTACTGCCTGACTGCAGCCTTGGATCCTCCCAGGTACTTTCTGACCCTGACACCACAGTAAACCACAGTTCACTGAAAATGAGTCAGGGTCCAATAAGTCTGAATATTAAGCACACAGTAATGGAGATGCTAGCCATGTAACTATTTCTGTCCTGCCACTGAAGTGGTAAGAGAAGCAAAAGGGATGGGCAGACCAACCTGACTTGGGGAGGAAATCTGGCTGCTGTGAAAGAAGCCAGTTTATTACCTATGAAACAGTCTCCAAGGACTTCCTGTGCTTACCATCAGGGTTCCAGACAAGTGTGGATGACTGTGGTTTTGGTACCATATACTTCTGTGATCGTGGTTCTTCCTTCTGTCCAGAACTCCCAAACCCACATTCTTAAGTTTTCCACCCTGACAACTTCCCCACACCCCCAAGAAGTCCCATTCCCATGTGAACATTCTGGGAATTGGAAATCCAAAAATCAAGGGTTCAAGGCCAGGAGCTAGAGAAACAGGTTTAAGTGCACTTGCTGTTTTTTGTTTTTTTTTTTGCAGAGGACCCAGGGTTGGATTCCCAGCACCCACTTGGTAGTTGTTAGCTAACAAAGATCTGTAACTCCAGTTCCAGAGGAACCAAGCCCCTCTTCTGGCCTTTGTGGACACTGCATTCACATGGTCCACTTACATATATGTAGGTAAAACACACATTAAATAAAAAATTTAAAGTAAAAGACCAACTTCGGCTACAAGGAATTGTCTCAGAAGTACAAAAAGAAAAGGAGGAAAAAATATCACATTTCCTCGATGTTGGTTTTTACAACAGAATTATGAATACAGTAGTTTAAACTGAAGTGTGACTGACATTTTAATAATGGTCACTACATATCTGTTCCCTCCCTCGAAGTTCCACACACCAATCAAGTACCCTCTAAATACCTATTCACTGTAGGCTAGGGAAAACATGGCACATTAAAATTGGTAAAATCTCAAAAATGGTCCATTATGATCAGGTCACCAAGTCCCCTAAAATAAACTGTAGAGTTTCAGAGCAAATTACCCAAAGTACAGGTGTAGAAAACTAGATTTCATGCCATGGGGGTGGGGGATGTCCACTTTAAAATTAAAGGGTATGGCCGGGCCTTTAATCCCAGCACTCGGGAGGCAGAGGCTGGCAGATCTCTGTTGTGAGTTCAAGGCCAGCCTGGTCTACATAGTGAGTTCCAGGACAGCTGGGGCTACAGGGAGACCCTGTCTCAGAAAGACTAAAAGAAATAAAAAAAAATAAAAGGGTAGAATGGAGCCAGGCGTGGTGGCCCACGCCTATAGTCCCAGCACTTGGGAGGCAGCTGCCAAGGGGATCTCTGAGTTCCAGGCCAGCCTAGTCTACAAAGTGAGTTCCAGGCCAGCTGGGGCTACAGGAAAACCATGTTTCAAAAAGACCAAAAAAAGGGGGGGGGGGGTAGAATGGATCGGACCCATTCCACCAAATGAAATCCTAGAACCATAGCATACTGTGGAATTCTAAATCCAGTTCAGTAGAACCAGTGAGCACGGCTTTAAACAGGAGACACCAGTTCAGGGTAAGACAAACAGTGCAACTGACTATAAACAGATAATCAGTCACATTGTTTCTTTAGAAGACTAAAGAACTGCACGTCGATGACATATGTTGCTAGGGATTTATTGATTACTGGTGGAAATTTTACATTAATTTTCGTAGTGGGCACTTCTGAAAAACTTCAGTCCCTTCTCAGCTGAAACCAGTAGGAAAATGGCCCTGCCTTCAAGCAATAGGGTGATGGGCATCTGCACAGGTGTAGCTGGTACTGCCAACTAACCAGGCAGGAAGGTTGAGGACTGAGATACCTGCAGCCTGGGCCCATACAGTGGGCAACGGTAACGTATGTGTAAGCCAAGTGGTTCCAAGTGGGGAGGTAAAGTCCTCATGTGGCCCTGGCAACGGGTCTGAGTGGCTCTCGCACACCGCCGCCTCTCCTCTCCACCCTGCTCAATAACTTGGACCGTGGTCACGCGCCGCCCAACCCACATTAACAGCGCCTTGTTGGTAACGTGGCTCCGAAGGCAACAACGCCAGGCGCGGTGAGCGCAAAGCTGGTCTGACAACTGCTCCGAAGCCTGGAGACCAGCTAGCCGGCGAGGGAGACGCCCTCCAGCAAACAGCAGTAGCGAACAGGCGGAGGCAGCCGCTAGTGGAACCGCCCGGCCCCACTGACCTTGTAGCCGCCCCAGACAAACATGTGGTGCCCGTCACTAACGGCGACGTGGCCGCTGCGCTCGGCCGGGCAGGCCAGCTCCATGGCCTCGTAGCTCTCGAAAGCCGGGCCTGGCAGGTCGTCCGCCCGAGCATCCTCGTTGCCATCAGCCATCTTGAGGCGGCCCTCCTGTGCACCGAGCTCGCTCCAGCCGGGGACGCAAGAGAGACAAAGGAAAGCAGAGCAGGGCACCGCGGCGCGCAGCCAGGGCAGGAGGCCAGCCTCACTCCCGCGCAGCGCCTCGGCCCTCCGACCCAGAGCCGGCTCTAGTGCGGGCAACTGCTCGCAACAGGCGCAGGGAAACGCCACGGAGTCAGGACTGCTTCCCGGAGGGAGAACGGCCGATCCGACGGCTCACACTCGCAGTCCGCCCCGCCTCCGGCCTCTGGAGCCTTGTTTACGCCGGGGCCGGAAGCAGCCCGCAGCTGACACCGCCCCCGCACTCCGGAAGCGCAGTCACGCGAGCGCCCCCGCCGTCCTCTGCTGCTCCGTTTCCCCCCGGCGCCTGGTCCTCCTGCTGTCCGGTTCCCCCGCCGCTGGGTCCTCCTGGCCTGCTCACGGCCCTGCGGGAGGAGTCGCAGCCGTGGGCTAGCTTCGCAATAGTCGCCGGGCTTTTTTCTCTTCTGGTGTTGGGGCGTTCTCAGGGCTGTTCGTGAGGTCCGGGTCTCAGCCTCAGCGGGCCGCCTATCCCCGGGCCCACCAGCCCTCGCGCCGCGGCCTTCGCCACCCGCGATCTACCTGGGCGGTTTCCAAACCCGAGTTGCAGCCGCCCCTGACCTGGACAGTTCGCAAGCCTAACCGCCCACCCTTGGGAAGGACTCCTGGGTCTCTACAGTTTGGTCTAACAACGTTCCGATAAGGCTTTAAAAAAATCTTTTATTAATTACGAATAATCTAAACTTGATTCCTTGGCTTTAAAATAAAGCTGGGCTGGAAAACATCTTGTACTGGTCATCTGACCTGTGCCCTCCACACGCACCCACATGAACACGTGCACCCATATACGGACATGACACAAAAGTAAATGAAAGAAAACGATGAACCAAAATTTAAAAAAGAAAAATCTGGTCGAGCAGCACATTCGTGACATCAGCTTGGTGCTCGTACTGTTGGTGGTGGCCGCCTTTCACGTCCTGTTTTTCATTATCCTGAAATTTTCCATCATAGAGGATCCCGCCACTGAAGCCAGGATGAAGGTAGCTTGCATCACAGAGCAAGTCTTCACCCCGATCCACAAGAAGTTAGGCTGCTACCACCACTTTGATTGACTGTCGGTGGATACAGAGTCCCGGGTCGCCTCTACTCTCAAACAGACAGGAGAGCAAGAAGAGCCTGGAGACTGAGCACAAGGATGAGGCCAGTGAGACTGGTGCTGCAGTCCAGGGAGAAGACTAAAGATGAAGGGCTCTGATATGTACAGGTCAAGAGCTGGTGATGAAGTCAGTGGTGAAGGCTGAGTGAGCAGGTGGTGGCCAGCAAGCTCAAGATGTTCAAAGAGAATAAAATGCTTATCTTAGGGAATCATAAAGAGCTGGTCACCACAATGGACCGCATCCTGGATGCTCTGAAGCTTTGTTCTCCTGCCCAGAGCAGCCCCAGGTGTCTACACTTTCCGATGGGAGTAGGTGGGGTAGAGGTAAGTTGAGCATAGGGCCAACACAGGCTAGCACATATGATTCACAAAAGGCTTCAAGGAAGGTAACCTCGGGCTGGCCTCAAACTTTGTATCTGAGGGTGACCTTGAACTTCTGATTCTTCTGCCTTTACCTCCATAGTACTGAGATTCCAGGTGTGCACCACCACATCTGCTTTATGCAGTGCTGAGGATCAAACCCAAGGCCTTGTACATGCTAGGCACTCTACCAAGTGAGCTACATCCCAGCACTCTTCTAAGCTTTCTGTGTAAGGCTGACTATAAAAAGTAACTATAGGCGGGCGTGGTGGCATACGCCTTTAATCCCAGCACTCGGGAGGCAGAGGCAGGTGGATCTCTGTGAGTTCAAGGCCAGCCTGGTCTACATAGTGAGTTCCAGGACAGCTGGGGCTACAGGGAAACCCTGTCTCAAAAAGACCAAAAAAAAAAAAAGTAACTATAAAAGGACTTAGTGACAGGGTTTATCAGTCACAGGCTTTTAAAGCAGTAAAAAGTGGAATAGGAGCCAGGTGTGGTGGCATGGGCCTTTAATCCAGCACTTGGGAGGCAGAGGCAGACGGATCTCTATGAGTGTGAGGCCAGCCTGGTTAACAGTGAATTCCATGGCAGCTGTAAAATGAAACCCTGTCTAAAAGGAAAACAGTGGTTTAAAATGTAAAAGATCATATATATATATATATTATATATATTATATTATATGGATTTGTGGGGGGTTTAGGGTTAGTTTTTGGTTTGGGGGTTTTTGGGTTTTTTTTGTTTTTTTGTTTTTGAGACAGGGTCTCACTATGTAGCCCTGGCTGTCCTGGAACTCACTCTGCAGACCAAGGTGGCCTTAAATGTACAATGAGCAACCTGTCTCTGCCTCCAGAATGCCGAAATTAAAGGCATGCACCACTATCCCATCTTTTTTTTTTTTTTTTAATATGTGTGCCTGCTTGTTTGTATGTGCACCACATGAGTGCCATATCCACAGAGGCCAAAAGAGGGCACCAGATCCCTTGGAACTGGAATTATAGGCAGCTGTGAGCCACTGGATGTGAGTGTTGGAAACCAAACCCATGTTCTCTGCAAAAGCAGAAAGTGCTCTTAAGCAATGAGTCATCTCTCCATCCTCTAAAATGTACAGCAAGACTACTATAACTTGCCATAATTTTGTAAGAAATGTAGATATTTGGAACTAAGTCACTGAAATTTAATCTAAAAAAATAATATATCCAAATGTAAAAAGTTATTTTCAATTCCAACATCTTGGGAGGCTGAGGCAGGGAGTTTGCCATGACTTTGAGAGCAGGCTGGGCTACAGAGTGATACTGTCAAATAAGAGGCCTGAGAAGATGGCCCTGTTGGTAAAGTGCTAGCTGTACGAGCATGAAGACCTGAGTTCAGATCCCCAGAACTCGCAGAAGTATCTGAAATCCCAGCACTGGGCAGGCAGAGACAGGCAGGCCCTTAGAGCTCACTATCTGGCCATCCTGGCTAAATCAATGAGCTCCAGGTTCAGTGAGAGACCCCCGTCTCAAAAATAAGGGAGAGCAACTGAGGAAGACACCCAGGATCAGTGTGCATATGAACCCCCTAAACATATACACCATACACAGAAGAGCATTCTTTAGTCCCTGCACATGAAACAAAGTGAAATGTTTTCTTTCTTTGTGGTTTGCATACTAAACAGCACTGTTCAAGAACATAGAACTTTTAAGACTTTGGAGTATTGACATCAGAATCAAATCTATAACAACATGCTTACAGAGCATTTCTTGGGATGAAAATAAAAATTAGATGAATAGAATCTTGAACGTTTTCAATTCACTATGCCTGCCAGAATAACTTAATTATTAATATAGTTTTAGTGCTCTGAAGGGCATAACAATTATGTCTATTATAAAGAATAAAAGTAGCATTATGAAATTGTACTTTTTAAATATTTTTATCTTACATGTATGAGTGTAAGTGCACCTATGTGGTGCAATGCCCACAGAGGTCAGAAGAAGGTATCAGATCCCCTGGAACTGGAGTTACAGAACGTTGTTAGACAACATGTAGGAGCTGGGAATTGAACCCCAGTCCTCTGCAAGAGCAGCCAGTGTTCTTAACTGCTGAGCCATCACTCCAGCCCCTTTCTCCTAGTGTAGACCAGGCTGGTCTCCATCTCACAGAGATACTCCTGCCTCTGCTGGGGTTAAAGGTGTGCACCACCATGCCCGGTGATATTTTGTTCTCAATTCTACTTCCCCAACAGGAGCTCTCAGAATATACTTGTCACAGGTACAATGTGGACTTGTGTGTGTTGCTATGGTAATGGGAAAGATGTGGACTCATGAATAGACTGAGAAATGTTTTATAATAATAAATTTGTGCTGGGCCTGGTGGTGCATGCCTTTAATCCCAGCACTCAGGAGGCAGAGGCAGGCAGATCTCTGTGAGTTCAAGGCCAGCCTGGCCTACATAGTGAGTTCCAAGCCAAGCTGGGGCTACAGGGAGACCCTGTCTCAAAAAGACATAATAATAATAATAATAATCATAAAATCTTTAAAAATTTTTATCACATTTTATTAATTCTGTGTGAATGCGGGTATGTGTTCCCATGGGCAGAGGTGTGAGCATGCTAGTACTGTGGTGCACATGCAGAGGCCAGATGACAACTTGAAGGAGTCACTTCTCTCCTTTCACTGTGCTGGGTCCTAGGGATTGAACTCATGTTGTCAGGCTTGGTGGCAAGCCCCTTAACCTATGGAGCCATTCCACCAGCCCCATCCTCATCAAATTTTTATCAGAGAGTCTTTTTTCTTTTCTTTTTTTTTTTTTTTTTTTTTTTTTTTTTTTTTCCCTGGGTAGCCTCAAACTCGATATGTAGATCAGACTGGCCTTGATCTTACAGAGATCCACCTGCTTCTGCCTCCCAAGTGCTGGGATTAAAGGCATGCACCATCATGCCCAGCTTGAGCAGCCTTTTAAGTTATATGTATTTAATTTGTGGGGCAGAAAAGAATCACAGAGCTGGACTGGCGATGTAGCGACCAGGCTGGCCTTGAACTCACAATGATCCGCCTGCCTCTGCCTCCTGAGTGCTGGGATTAAAGGCATGCGCCACCAACCCTGGCTCAGAGAGTCTCTCTGAACCAGGTCACTGCTTGATTCCCAGTGGAATCATAAACAATTCCTAACTTGAGTTGCTACAGTACAGTCTGTCAGAATCCTAAAGAAGCTACAGCTTCTGGGAGACTGGATCCAATACCATAAGCAACGTCTCTGGGTGCATGAATCAATGCAGATTTTCTCTAGTCTAATGTGTATAGTTGCTCCTCAGCTTTGGGGAGGGTTAAGTCCCAACCCCATGGCAAGCTGAAAATACTGCAAAATGAAACTGTATTTACACCTAAATGACACTGCTTAGCAGCACTATGCCCTACAAGGGTGGCAGGTGTTTACTATCAGGATTGAGGGGTCCTTTAGATAATTTCGTTTTTTGTTATTTTTTTTTGTTTGTTTTTTGTTTTGTTTTGTTTTTTTTTGGTCTTTTTGAGACAGGGTCTCCCTGTAGCCAGAGCTGTCCTGGAACTCACTATGTAGACCAGGCTGGCCTTGAACTCAGAGAGATCCGCCTGCCTCTGCCTCCCAAGTGCTGGGACTACAGGTGTGCACCACCACGCCCAGCAGATAATCTTGTTTTTAACTTTACTCAGTCATGTGTCACTTAACAAAGAAAGTTTAAAACAACACACAATCAAATGATATCATGGTTTTGTGAAAATCATAAAGTGTGGTACACACCTTTGATTCCATCTATCACTAGGGAGACAGAGGCAGGTTGTTCTCTGTGACTTTAAGGCCAGCCTGGTCTACATAGTGAGTTCCAGGACAGCCAGGGCTACACAATGAGGCACTGTCTCAAAAAAAAAAGTATACTTACACAAACATAGCTATGACACCACTAAGTGGCATCCAAGAGAACCACTGTTATATATATGTAGCTTGTGGTCTGTTTACATGTGCTATGGCTCATGACTATATTTGGGTGTGATGGTTAATCTTGGTTGTCATCTGACAGGATCTGAGTGGGCTTATGCGGGCATTTCCAGGAAGAATTAGCTGAAGGGTCTAGAAGACCCTACCCTGGAGTAGGCAGCACCTTCCGGCAGGTGGCCCACATCATACAGAATTCAAGAGATGAAGCAGTGTTGCCTGCCTGCCTGCCTGCCTCTGCTGCTTGCTGGTGAGAGTGTCTGTTAATGCTCTGTTGCTGCCATCCTTCCCTAACTCCAGCCTCTTCAGCCTTCCAAAGTGGACCGAAGACCTGCAACTCTCCAGGAAGCTTCTAGGCCTTCAGCACCAGGTTGGGCCTGCTGAGGCACCTAGCTTTGAGAACCCAGCAGCTATCAGGTTCTGAGTCTTGTCTGAGTGCAAATGACCACTGATGGACTGCCCAGCCTCCATGGTGTAAGCTATTCTAGTAAATTCCTTTTTATTATACACTCTCTGCCAATTCTGTTCCTCTAGAGAATCCTGCCAAATACACTATGTGACACCAGATTGTCTTCACATAAGTCAACCAAAACAACATATGAGGGCCAGCAAGACGGCTCAACTCTGCCTCTGTGTGTATATATGCACACATGCATGCACACACAGAAATAAATGTAATAAAAAGCATCTGGCAACAAATTGAATACAGAGCACATACGAACCTAGCTGTCTTCTATTAAGCAGATTTATTTTAAAAATGCAAATCAGGGACTGGAGAGCTGGCTCCGGGGTTAAGAGCAATGGTTGCTCTTGCAGAGAACCCAGGTTCAATTCCCAGCACCCAGACGGCAGCTAACAACCATCCATAACTCCAGTTCCAGGGAATCCAACACCCTCTTCTGGCCTCCACAAGTACAGCACGCCCTTAGGGGTATTTACATACGTACAAGCACAACACTCATAAAATAAAAACATTTTAGAAATCCTTGAGTTGTCTTAGCAAAGCAACAGAAGACCTCTAACTTTTCAAACATTGCTTATAAACTGCTCCATCTTATCAGATATAGAGAAAATTAGAGTCAATCTAAGAATAAGATTCTCCAGCCAGAGAGCTAACTCAGCAAGTAAAGGTACATGCTGCCAAGCTGGACAGCCCAAGTTCAATCCTCAGTGCCTATATGGTGAAAGGGAAGAACCAATTCCCACAAGCTATTCTCTGACCTGTTTATGTGCCACCCCACAGTAAATAAATAATAATGTAGAAAATTCAGAAAGAATAAGATTGTCCTCATAAAGATAAAACAATTAAAAAGTTCCTTATAGGGCATTTGAAATTCAGTGACTAATGACACTATTAACTGTCTTACCACAGAATGTCTGCACAACATTCTTTCACTAAAAAAATATTCTTGGGGACTTCCAGCTTCTGATCTGGCCTGTGAGGAACCTAAAAAGCCACCACACCATCCTCACAAGAAGTGAAAAGCTGAACAAACTCAAAGATCAGCACCTGTGCTCAGGACACTTGCACGCTGCCACAGCAGCCCGGTGTTCTACCCCAATGTCTGTTACCTTGTGATTGCTGGTGCCAGAATATTCTAAGGTAGGGCACAGGGATACCCCAGAAACTAGATATGCTCAGAATCCAGGACCAGGATTCTGTCTCCTCTGCTGTAAGCTAGATCATTAGGAACAATGCTTAGATATCCCGAAGCCAGGAAGAGGGACTCAGCTAAGTCTTTGTCTTGATCCTCAGAGACTTTTGAATTAGGACCTCTGAATGATCTTGGACTTGTTAAGACTTTGGGGACTCACTGAGCATGGTGCACACACCTTTAATCTCAGCATCTGGGAGGCAGAGACAGGTGAATCTCTGTGAGCTCCAGGCCAGCTAGGGCTACAACCATGTGCACTAGGGATGGGATGCTGGGGTTTGAATATGAAAGTATCTGTATTCATGAAACAGGTGCTCCTTATCTGGAGCTGGAAACTAGGAAATTGGATCTTGCTGATGGGAATAGGTCCCTGGGAGTGTGCATCTGACAGATATGTTGAGCCCCAGCCGCCTCCTCCATTCCATACATTCCCAGACATCATATTCTGCCCCATCACCAGCCATCTGATTAAGTTTGGGTATATTTTTGCCTTAATTATAAAATGCTAATGTTTAAATTCATAATAATGCCCCCCAAAGAAGTGTATTACTTGTGCAATTTACTTTCCAAGTTTGTTATGCAGACTAAAAATAGTAAGAAAAATTCACATCAAAATTATTTATTCGATTTTACTGTGTTTGTGTGTGTGTGTACATGATGTATGTGTGAGCACACATGCCACAGCATACATGTGGAGGCCAGAGAACAATTTGATGGAGTCAGTTCTCTCCTTTCACCTTTACACTGGGGTGGGGGATCAAACTCAGATCACTGGACTTAATGCTTCTACCTGATGAACCATGTTGTCACCACACACTGAATTTTTTTACACAAGTGCCTCTGATTGGTCCATACTGACAAAGCTATGAAACAGCGATTCTGTGTACTTTGTTCAATAAATAAAATGTAAACAACAAAATACCCAAATACATAAATAGAAGCTTTACACATCCAAAATGCAGCAGGTATAAAACATTTATCTACAATTTAACAAATACTAAAAAGATTCACTATAAATTATATACACATTTCAATATAGAAATATATTTTTATAGCATTTTAAAGTTCAGAGATAACTTGCATGGTGACAGTGTGGGGAATAATGCTATGTGTTGAACTTTTCAGTAATGAACCATAAGCAGGAAGTTACGGGAAGGGCATGGCTGATAATACAGACAGTGCTTCAACTATGGCAAAAGTACCATTCTGAGGAATAGAAAGGAACAGTTTCCCACTGCTGGATAAATGGTAACACTAAAAACAAGAGAAGATACTAGAGTTTGAACACTGTGGTGTTGGGAGCATCAGCTCTGTACAGGAGGATGGGGTCAAATTGGGGGCTTTTATAGAGCCAGAAATAGTGGACCACCATGCCACGTTACCTACAAAAATTGCTTTAGAAACACTTTTCCAAGGCAAAATATATTTTAACACATCTTGAAAGGTATTACTACATCACATCCCAATATTTCAACACCTGTATGATAAATACACCTCCACTTTATATGCTTAAAAACAGCTCTTAGGGATAATACAAACAGAACTGAGCACGGTTCCCACACTCAAAGGGACAGAAGCGCTGTAATAATGTTATTTAAGGAAACACTTAGGTAATCTTAATGAGGAAATTTATTCTTTATGAAAGTTAATATGTATTTTTATATATTCATCTACACTCATGTTAGGGGATTTCTGAAGTTTTTAGGGTAATTCCAAATTTATACAATCTTTCCAGAAAACAGTGTGTATTGAGTTAAGATCTGTTATAACTGAACTTACTTTTAGAAAGAATACTTATTCTGTTAAGTAAACCAATTTATAAATATAGATAAATGCATTTATATCTTTTTTTATATATCCCATACCATGTAATCATGTTAACAGAGCATTTTTTGTTTCAAACTTTATCCTTTAAATAAAGCCCGAAATTGGAAGGGTAGATGTGTAGACTGATTAAAATGCTTTCACATACAAAGCCTAGAGCAATTCAGCGGCCACTGATCCACTGATACTTATTTTCTGTTTCTTCTTTTTGGATTCTTTGTTCTTTTCGGTAATTGGCTGCAGTCCAAAATGTTATTTTTTTGAGTACTTGCTGTAGAAGTTTAGGAGGTAATAAAGGTATTTGACTTTTTAAAATGATGGCATTTTTACCAATGCAGTCAAGGCACAACCTGTGAATAAAGCATAATACAATTAATAGTTTCTGAGTCCAAGGCTATAAAATATTTCTAGTCAAGCTTTTTTTTTCTTTGCAGAGTTGGAGATTGTAGTAAAAACTTACCTGAAGGCTAGGCAGGTATTCTAACACTGATAGGAAACCTCAGCACTGTAGTGATTCAGAATGTTTTTCCTTGTTTGCTTTTTTTTGAGACAGGGACTCCCTCTATAGCCCAGACTAGCCTTGGTCTTAAAGTAATAATCCTACCTCAGGCTCCCAAGTACCAGGATTACAGGAGTGAGGTACCACACCTGCCAAGTTAAGTACACTTTCCTTTTTTTGTTAAATATTTTCCCAAATAAAAATCATTATTAAAAACTCCAGATGATATTTCTCTTGTGTTATTTGGACTGTGAGAGGATTTCATCGACAACAACAATAATTGTATTTTTATAGCATAGAGACTGTATTTAACCAAAATTCAATGGAAACAGAAAATACAACCAATTACCATACATGATATTCTTTAATTAAAAAGATTCAAGCCAGGTGTGGTGGCACATGCATTTAATCCCAGCAGAGGCAGGCAGATCTATCTACATAGCAAGTTCCAGGCCAGCTGAGGCTACAGGGAGACCCTGTCTCAAACAGACCAAAAAAATAAATAAATAAAAAATTCAGGGGCTGGAGGTATAGCTGAATGGTAGATAGAGTCAAATGGCAGAACACTTGCCTGACATGCATGAAGCCTTAGGTTCAATACCTAGTATCACCAAAACAAAAAACAACAACAACAACAACAAAAAAAAACTCAGAGATAGGGAGAAGGGAGAAGACAGGTGACATGAGAGAACATGGAAGGATGATGAACAGAACCAGCACATGATATCTACATGTATGTAAATACAATGAATCACCTTGACTTATATAATTAATGTGTGGGGGAGGGATGGAAAAATAAGTACAATGTATCCATGTATGATATTCTTTAAAAAAAACCGTTAAATAGTATCTTTCCTATGTAAATTTTTATATTGATAGTCTGGGTAACAAAGTTGTCTAAGATATCAAATCTAAAGACATAAATTGCCATATATGGCAGTCTTAAAATTATGAAACTTTCATGTTTTCTGTTATTTTAACTTTTTGCTTAATTCCTTTTTGTTTTCTGTAACTTTTTTTTCTTCTTCATCTTTTTGAGATAGGGTCTCCCTGTCGCCCCAGCTGGCCTGGAACTCACTATATAGACCAGGGTGGCCTCAAACTCACAGAGATCTACCTGCCTCTGCCTCCCAAGTGCTGGGACTGAAGGCATGCACCACCACGCCCAGCCATCTTCTCTAACTTAAAAAAATTTTTTTTAATTTAAAAAATTTCTGTGTATGAGCATTTTACCTACATGTATGTAAGTACACCACGTGCATGTAGTTTAGAAGAGGGCGCTGGATCCCCTTGAACTGGAGTTATGGACCCTGTGAGTGGTGGGAACCAAAGCAGGGTCTCCTTGTGTAACCCTGGCTGACCTCAACTCCCTAGGCTGGCCTGGAACTCACAGAGATCCACCTGCCTCTTCCACTTGAGTGCTGGGATTAAAGGTGTGTGCACAACCACACCTGGCTTTAAATATTTTTAAAAAGTAATTTTTCTTTTTGACAATTTCAAAAAACAATAATTATAAAACCTTTCGTTTCTCTATTTAAAAGAGGAAGGGAGGAAGGAGGGAAGGCAGGAAGGAGGGAAGGGAGGAGGAGGGAAGGCAGGAAGGAGGGAAGGCAGGAAGGAGGGAAGGCAGGCTTAATTTCTTTTCTTTTTTTGTAGGGTTGGAGGATGGAACATGGGTCAGTTATGCTAGGGAAGCTTTCCACTGCTGATCCACAGCCCAGCTCCATGGTTAACTTCACTGGTCGTTTTTATAAACAGTTAGCTCTGCTCTGCATTTATGTGCTCTCTGTACTCTCTCTCAGGTTTGAGCCCTGGGCTTTGCTATGCTAAGAAAGCACTCTACCACTGAGTGAAACCCCAAGCCCTCTTATGATTTCATAGAAACCGTTACTTTCTATTATGACTAATTCCAAATAGGAAGAGTTAAGACATTCTACATAGATGCAGAAGAAGTACAAGAAAATAAGTTTATCTCAGGTATAAGCATAGCTCTGCTCCTTATGACAGCTGGCCAGTTCCTCATCACTGTGAAAAATAGCTAGTCTAAGCTATCTCAGGAGTAGGAAGTCAGCACAGGAAAAGCCATGTCACCTTTTGCAACAAAGGTAATGAAATCACAGTGACTGATGAAATGCTCTCCAGGAAACAGAATAATTTTTTTTGACAGAGTCTCCCAGACCACCTGGAAGTCACTATATGGACCAGACTGGCCTTGATCTCACAGAAATCCATCTGCCTGCCTCTGCCTCCCAAGTGCTGGGACTAAAGGCATGGGCTACCACACCTAGCCTTTGGTGAATATTTCCTTTTCCTTTTTTATTTCCTAAAATTTTTCTTAGGTTTATTTTGTATTTTTTTTGTCTTTTTTTGAGACAAGGTCTCCCTGTAGCCCCAGCTGTCCTGGATTCACCATGGAGACCAAACTGGCCTCTAACTCACAGAGATCTGCCTGCCTCTGCCTCTGGAGTGTTGGGATTAAAGGCGTGCACTACCACGCCCTGCCATTTTGTATATTTTTTAATTTTTAAGTTTTTTTTTTTTTGAGATAGGGTCTCACTAACTTGCTCAGGCTGCCTGTGTAGCCTAGGCAGGCTTTGAACTTTCAATCCTCCTGCCTCTGCCTCCTGAGCACCTGGGATCACAAGCCTACACTACCATGCCCCCCCCAAAAATCTTGGGGCCAGGTGTGATAGCACATGCTTTTAATCCCAGCAATCCCAGCACTTGGGAGGCAGAGGCATGTGAATCTCTGTGAGATCAAGCTCAGTCTAGTCTACATAGGAAGTACCAGGCCAGCTGGTGCTACAGGAAGACTGTCTCACAACAAACAAAAAAACCTTAATTTTTAAAACCGGAATAAATATCAGATGTATTTATTTTAACATATAGGGAATGGAGAGATTGATCAGCAGTTAAGAGCATATATTACTCTTGCAGAAGACCCAAGTTGGGTTCCTAGCACCCACACAGTGAGGCTCACAACTGCCATTAACTCCAGCTCCAGGTGATCTGGTCCCACGAGTATGCACTCATGTGCACATACCCATAATACAGACACAGATATACAAAATACAAATATAAGTAAAATGTTTATATATATATATATATGAGGAATTTTGGGCTAGAGAGATGACTCAGTGGTTAAAAGCACTTGTTGCTCTTGCAGAGGATCCAGGTTTGGTTGCTAGCACCCACATGCAGTTTAGAACCATCTGTAACTCCAGTTCCAGAGGCTCCTATGCTCTGTTCTGGCAGGCACCATGCGTGCATGTGGTGCACTATACAGATAAAAAAAAAATTTAATGTATTTTTAAAGAGTGTGTACTGAATTCCAGAGACCCAAATTCAATTCCCAGCACCCACATTAGACACCTCACCATCACCTGTAACTCTAGCTCCAGGGGATCCAATGCCTTCTTCTAGCCTCTGTGAGCAATGCATTCATGTGCACAAGTTCACACTCAGACATACACATGTACACATAATTAAATCAATAATTTAAAAAAGCCCCATTAAGGAAGGAAGGAAGGAAGGAAGGAAGGAAGGAAGGAAGGAAGGAAGGAAGGAAAGAAAGAAGGACAAAGTTGTCAGAAAAAAAGTGATGGGGAGCTATGGGAGGTATTGGAGGGGAGAGAGTGGGCGTGGATTTGATCAAAACACCTTATACGCACATATGAAATTCTCAATTAAGTTTAAAAAAATAATAAAAAGAGGACTCATGTCCTATTCATCTTTCTTTATCCCAGCATTTCAACACTAAGTAATAAATGCTTTTTGACCCAACATTTAACATAAAATGATCACACTGGTTGTGCTGTGGACAATTCATTATGATGAATAGTCTTCACACAACAAATACTGCTACATTCTTGTTAAGTCTAGTGTATGTGTTATATGTGTGTGCACATGTTCATGTGTGTGCGTATGTGCATGGGCATGTATGTAGAGGCCAGAGGTCAACATCGGGCATCTTCAGCCACTCTTGCACCTTATTTTTATTTATTTATTTTGGAGACAGGGTCTCTCACTAACTTGAAGCTCACCAATTTGGCTAGACTAGCTGGCCAGGGAGCTCCAGGGATCCACCTGTTCCTACCTCCCCAGTGCTGGGATTACAGGCACATACCACTCTTCCTAAATTTTTATGTGGGTGCTAGGGTTCCAAACTCAGTCCTCATGCTTGTACATCATGCCCTTTATAGACCGAGGTGGAGAGATGGCTCAGCAGTTAAGAGCCAGCCTGGGCTACAGGGAGACCCTGTCTCAAAAAGACCAAAAAATAATTAATTAATTAATTAATTAAAAAATAAGAAATCATTGGGTAAACTCAGTGGGTCACAAGACAAAATGATAGACATGGCCATGAGAGAGATTTATAGGGAAGAGGGTGGTAGACAGGGGAGTAGAAGGGTGGGTGAGAGTGGTTGGAATACATTATGTACATGTAACTCCACAAGTTAACTGATAAAAATTATATACAAAGATGTGATGTATTCTCAGATGGAGATTACAAATCATTAGATGAGATTCTTTCTAGGTATCTTAATCTGTTTGACTACTTTCTCTCCTTGGACCATAATTTTACTGAACAAAGCAAACCCAATTACAGTGAAAGGCTGTGTTAGCTTGGATTTTTTTTTTTCTTTTGAGACAGGGTTTCCTGCCTCAAAGTCACAATGTAGCTGATGATGACCTTGAACTCCTGACCCTCCTGCTTCCACCTCCCGAGTAATGAAATTATAGGCATCAGCCACCATGCTCAATTTATGTGTGCTACCATTGAGTCCAGGATCTTGCGAATGCTATGTAAGCACTCTACCAACTGAGCTGCATTCCCAGCATGCACAGATATAATGTATGTATATATTGTATATGTGTAACAATACTGTATTTACTTACCTGAGTAGTGAATGGGGCTGTGTTTGAAAGATCAATAAATCATTACAGTGACCCTAGTCAACATAAAAAGAAAAGGCCTTATCAAGGATTTGGATAAAAATAACAGTACATTAATAATGGAACATTTCTGTTGTATGACTGTAAGGAAGCCAATAAATTTCTCTTTTGCTAGTAACACACATGTATACACATGCACACAAGTATATATACCCACAAACATACATAGATATATACATTTACTATCCAAAAGCTTGAGGTTTGTGGATACCAAATTTCAGTACTCAGTCCTAGGCTGAACAGAGCTCTACAACTTTCCCTGAACCCCACATTTAAGTCAGTGGCTACAGACCTACAAAACAAACGTAATTCCCTGGAGAGAACGACCTTTCTTTAAGGTTTTCCACTCCAGAGAAGCAGCTTGTACCCAAGGACAGGAGAAGGAGCTGGTGACCCCTTGGCTGGACTCTGGTTCATTGTGCCCCAATCCCTATCCACTCTATCTCCAGCGTCCCATGAAAATCAGAGCAATCAGTCCTAAACATCTGCCCTGTCAGGCACAGCACATGAGAGTAGCCAGCTGTGCTATACCCCCCATGAGCTATGAGCAGAGTTGATAGTTTCCAAATGCAACTTGTTTGTTCCTTCACATTTTAAAGCTGGAATTTTAAAACTTAAATATAAAACAGGTAGGTAGGGGTTGGAGAGATGGCTCAGCAGTTAAGAGTACTGGCTGCTCTTGCAAAGGATCAGGGTTCAGTTCCCCGCATCCACATGGCAGTTAACAACAATCTGTAACTCCAGTTCCAGAGACTCTGACACCCCCTTCTGGCCTCCACAGGCACTGTAAGCATATGGTACACTTACATACATGCAGGCAAAACATTCATACACAGAATAATAAAATATTTTTCAAAACCCAGATAGGTGAAACAGTAGCAAAGGTTAAAAAAAAAAGGAAATACATTGTGCTGCATTGGAGCAGAAAATTTCCTTCTTCAGAGAGAAACTGCTCAGTGAGACACAGAAGGAACGAAGGGCAGTTTCACAACGGTTGCTGACCTCCTGCTTCTTACTTTCATAAATCTCATAAGCATTTATAATTATGCTTAGCATATACATTGTAAGGATTCTTTTATATACAAATATTTAATTCAGAAAAGTATAGCACTCATATTATGGTAAGGCTCAAAGAGAAAAGAAAAGGAAAACAGGGGTCATAGCTTAGGGGTAGAGTGCTACCCAACGTGTATAAGTTCAAGGCCCTAGGTTAAATCCCCCACACTGGGGGAAAAGATCTCTTTTTAATAATTTAGCTAATGAAATTAGTATACTTATTTTGATTTGTAAAACCAAAATATCCTGAAATACATCACAAAAGCCATTTAATTTGAAAAGTGATCCTTCTAGAATACTCCCTGCCCTCCCCCACTTTGCAAAGTTACAATAGCAACAACACTGCTCAGAGCTGGTGAATAAATAACGATTCAGAGGAAAGGCTTAAATACAAGATTTGCTTACTGTATCCAAGAAAAGGAGATTATCTTTGCTCCCACCAAATACCATTATTTCATTTTCTTTTCCCAAACAGGCTGTGTGCCATAACCTATGATGGAAAAGTATAAACAGTGAAATACCATCAAGGAAGAAACTGTACATCATATGTAAATCAATTCTACAGTATGCACTCAAAAAGTGTATCTATTTTTCTAGAGTTCATTAAATCATACTTCAGTTAAATGATGTCTAATAACTCTGTTATAGTTCCCAGCTTTTGTAACCCCTCTATCTTATACATACTATCCTTGAAATACATCTAAAGGAACTGACCCTCATTGCTACAACAGGCACCCAACCAGCTCTCTTCCATTGTCCACCACATCACATTCCTTCCTGCTCTGTGCCCATCAGCTGACAGATCACAGGGCACTCCATTCATACTTGTCACTCTGGGTGCAGAATACCATATGTTCCTCATTTCCCATCTATCACCTCCCCCAAATCTCATATAGCTAACAAATGATACTTTTCAAATAGTTTTTCCATATTAACCACTTCAAAAATTTTTAACTCGTACATAACACTTGCACACACTTAGGGGTTATAGTGTGATAATATGACATTTGTATGTAATGTGTGATGATTGAATCTGGGTAATCAGCACTTCCAACCCCTCACACATTTATCATTTAAATGTTGGGACTCTTCAGACCTTCTCTTGTATTTTGAAATATATTGTAAACTTGTTGTGGGGGATGTTTTGTTTTGTTTTGTTTTGTTTTGGATACTGGAGATTGAACCCAAGGCCTTCTGCATGCAAGGCAATCGCTTCCCCACCGCCAACCCCAGAGTTACATCTTCGGTTCTACTGTAAACTGTTGTAATCTACAGTTGTCATTGGAATTTCCTGATTAGGAAGCATTTCTTAATAATAGCTGGGTTTTATAGACTAATACTTATGATCAACCGCTATTCCCCCCAAATCTTAATTCTTGCCTTTCCCCAAATGAGCCTTCTACCTCACCCAACTCCAGGCCCTTGCTTACCCTAAGATACATGTATCTTTGGGCTTTAAAAAAATTTTTTTTACTTTTATTTTACACATATGAGTGTATTGCCTGCATCTAAGTACTCATATTGTGCAATGACTGATGAGGTCAGAAGAGGGTGTTGGATTCCCCTGGAACTGGAGTTACAGACAGTTGTTAGCCACCATGTGGGTGCTGGGAATTGAACCTGGGCCTTCTGCAAGAGCAGCCAGTGCTCTTAATCCCTAGGCTTTTTTTTTTTTTTTTTTTTTAAGACAGGGTCTCCCTCTGGCCAGCTGGCTTAGAACTCACCAGCAACTCTTCACATTAGGAGCCTCCCCTTCCAGGAGCAGATGTAACCCTAAACCAGTGCACCACTGGAACTTGGATAGTTTCATTGTATGCTTCTTAAAAATGGCCACTATGGTATTCTGCATCCAGAGGTGTTCACAGTTTTTGATTAGCAAAAGCAAACGCAACACTAAAAAACTTATTTAATTGATTCAGTAATTACATCTATAACACATCTCATAAGGAGTAGATCTAATGCTCTTTTGGAAATGGTCTCATACCTCACGCCTGTCTCAAATTTCACATTTACCAAAAACAACTTTACTGTTTTATAAAGGCTCTCAGGCTCTATCTCTCAAACAAAATTACATTATATTCTCAATTTTATAAGATAAACTAAGAATTTTACAGTCATTGCTATGACTTTAAAAGAGTACTGTAGGGTGTGGTGGCACATGTCTTTAATCCCAGCACTCGGGAGGCAGAGGCAGGCAGATCTCTGTGAGTTCAAGGTCAGCCTAGTCTACATAGTGAGTTCCAGGACAGCTGGGGCTACAGGGAGACCATGTCTCAAAAAGACCAAAAAAAAAAGAGTACTGTAATACTTTTCTTTCATTTTTTTCAGTCTTTTAGAGACAGGGTCTATGTAGACCAGGCTGGCCTCAAACCCACAGAGATAACACTTGCCCCTCCTTCCCAAGTGCTGGGGTTTTTTTGTTGTTGTTTCTGTTTTTAAATACAGTCTCACTATATAGACCAGGCTGGCCTTGAACTTGCTGTGATCCTCCTGCCTCTGCCTTCCTAGTGCTGGGATTATAGGCATGTACCACCACACCTGGCTGCTTCTTTACTGAGACAAGGTTTTACATTTGGTCTCAGACTAGGCTAGCCTGGAAATCACTATATATCCCAGCCTGGTCTCAAACTCTTGGCATCCTGATTTGGGATACTTTTCTTAATATTTTAATTATTATTTTTATTTTATGTATATGAGTGTATTGTCTGCATGTCTATAAGTGCACCTGTGTCATGCAATGCCTGCAGAGGTCAGAAGACAGCACTGAACTGGAGTTATGGATGGTTGTTGGCTGCCACGTGGGTGCTGGGAATCAAACCTGAGTCCTCTGCAAGAGCAGTTAGTGCTCTTAACCATTGAGCCATTTCTCCAGGCCTGAGATACTTTTCTTAATAGAACAAATTACTGGAGCAACAGCTTCAAAAAAACTATATATTGTCACTTATTTTGTTACTGAATAATTTATTTTTGTACATTAATCCCTTTTACTTAACGCCCCACAAGTGTAAACACTGGGACTCTGCACACTTTCCTCAAACAATTCCACACACATTCAATGACAAATGCACTCATGACCCAGGATGAGTTGTGAGATAGCTGTTTGGTAAACTCTGCCCAGTTCTCCAAATCAGATGCTGGAATGTGGATTGGTGTTCATTTTCAGCAAGAACTCAGATGATATGGGGCTGGGTATGGTGATTAGAGGAGTCAGGTAGCAGGCTGGGTATGGTGATTAGAGGAGTTAGGTAGAGGGCTGGGTATGGGGATTAAAGAGTTAGGTTAGAGGACTGGGTATGGGGTTAGAGAAGTTAGGTAGAGGGGACAAAAAACAATCAATGCCCTCATTTAGGGGAAGCAGTAGAATGTTTTCCTGGGGAGAAGCCATGATAATCTTGGCAGTTCTGGTAGGACTGACAGGAATTAAGGTTCTATATGCAAACATGTCATACAACATCTTTATAGACACATAGAATCCTTCCTGAAAGCTTTCAGATGGTTTTATAACAGGCATAGATTTATCTAGAGCAAGTCCTAGAGGAGGGAGTGTTACACTGTAGAGTGGTGATTCTCAACCAGGGCTCATCTGTCCCCCAAGGATGCTGGGAGACATTCTACCACACACAGGACATCAGTAACAACAAAGAAGTATTTGGTTCAAAGGGTCAATAGTGCTGAGGCTAAAAAACACTTACAGCTCTAAGAGAAGAATTGGGCAGCTTATATTTCAAATTATAACTTGGAAATTCACAAATGCATTAGATGTTGGATAAACTGTCATTTTCATTAAATATTATAAACACATATGTTCTCCTTACACTCAACTGTATCCCACCTGTTCTCCTCCTCACCTCATACCTGAAGATAGGTCTGCCTCTGTTTTATCTGCCTGAGGGAAACTCTGGCCTGGATTTCACCATCGAAGAACACTGGAAAGCCTTTCCTGCCTTGGTTTTGGTGGCATCTAGCTTGCAACCTGATGTTTTTCCTACAGACTGACAGTATATGTCCTCTCACAGCTGCTCTAAACTTATCACCTAAACATTCTAACAAAGCATAGTATTGACATGACACATCAGCTGAATCAAAAGAAATCTCTTACATAGCTCTAGTTCTAACTAGCATATTATCAATAATAGTTGTTAAGCTCTAAATACTCATTAAGGCTTGAAATATAAATCAGAAATTTAAAAATTAAACATATTTACTACCATTTCATCTATAATTAATGTGTTCATCAAAGGAACTAGAAGAACTTTATCACTTCACAGATGAAAAACTTGATGCTCAGTTTCTTAAGTGACTTTGTAAAGCCCGAAGTGGAGCAGTAGCTGAGCAAGGATTGGAACCCAGGGCTCCCATGCCTTAACATAAAGAACTAGAATGCTGGGCTCCCATGTCTTAATATAAAGGAGTAGGAAGCTGGGCTTCCATGTTTTAGTATAAAGAACTCAAATGCTGGGCTCCCAAATCTTAACATAAAGGACTGGAATGCTGGGCTCCCATGTCTTAATATAAAGGACTGGGAAGCTGGGTTTCCATGTTTTAGTATAAAGAACTCAAATGCCGGGCTCCCAAGTCTTAAGATAAAGGACTGGAAAACTGGGCTCTTAATATAAAACTATTTAATTTAAATATGTTTCCAAAAAACTTAGACTTGTTAAAATAACATATCCCAATGAATCTTATACTTGAAGACTTAATAGCATATGCAATTATGACAGTCTCTAAATGTACAGTGCAGTATTATTTAGATATACACACCAACGTACACAGAAATACTAGGTTTATTTCTCAAATATGTTATCATCATTTATTAAATAACAGAAGTGCATGTAACTGAATTGACTTTGTATTGGCATAAACATATGGAGAAAAAGCAGCTCTGAAGTACATGACATAAGACAGGGTACTGTCTGCTGCTAACTGTCCTGATATGCTGAATCTGAATTTCCCATTAGGATATTTTCATTACACTATTCAATTCAATTTGAAAAATAATTATTGCACTACTGTGATTTGCTTTGTTTTCTAATAGTATATAGTTTCTATGATATTTATTCTATAATATGCCATAAATAACATTTTCTTGTTCAAAAAATTCACATTAATGAATACATCAGATTCTGAAGACAGGGTTTCATGTAGCCCAGGCTGGCCTCAAACCCACTATGTAGCTGAGGATGACCTTAAACTCCTGATCTTCCTGCCTCTACTTCCCAAGTACTGGGATTACAGGCGTGCACCATCATGCCCTGCTCAGACTGTTAATAAGGAAAAATAATCTATCACTTACTAAATCAACATGAAAGCAGATTTCCTCAATAAATTGCTTTAAATTTCTTCTCAAAACAACTATGATTAAAGTCAATCCTATTCCTACCACTTATTAAAAATAGTAACATTGTAAAAAATTAATCTTATAACAGGTTTTTCATTATCTTATGTTTTTTCAGATTTATTAGGCAAGATTATACATTTAGCTAATAGAATAAAATTTTCAAATATGCAAATAAGAAAACTTAATGGTTTCTAACAAACACAATGAAAATGATAATTAAATTATTTAGTTAACATAAAGCTCATTTGGAAAGTAACTTCTGCTTGCTTAGGATTTCATGACAAACATTATAAACTGTTCTATATCTTAGTGCTTTAAAAACTATTTTACCACATTAGTTTCAGACTTACCTGGGTTTTGTGTAAGGTAAATGTATAAGTTGTTTCCAACAATTTGTTATTATATTATGAATCCAACCATCACCTGTAATATTATGACAGTTCAGAAATTATGACTGACCCTTTGGGATACAATTTTAATTTCCCCCCAAGTTTATTATGTTACATTTGCATCATTATCTTGGGTGTGCATGTATATTTTTCAGAAGTATTTCAAATATACCCCAAAGTGGAGTAACCTACAACATAGATTCAACAACTACTAAGGTTTTGGGCTGGGGGTGTAGTTAGTGGTTAAGTACGTAGTTAGCACACATGAGGCCTTGGGTTCAATGTCCAGCACTGAAGAAGAAAAGAAAGGAAAGAAGGAGGGAGGGAGAAAAAAATGAAAAACAAATTTGCCCTGTGTTCTTTGTGCTACTCTTGAATTGTTCAATCAAACCCTAGATCTTGTATCATTTTCACCATACATACCTCAGTACACATTGCTAAACAACATGAATACTCTTTATATAACCACGATACCATTATCACAGTCAATGAAACAAAATTTTTGGTGCCCATATAACCAAATCTTAAGCTTAATGTATGAGGGAGGAACTAAGAGTTAGGTATTCAATTTTCCATAGACTAGCAATCAAAAACAGCAAATAGGAGTTTAAAACACTAGGTGTGCATACACATGGAGGCCAGAGGTGGACATGGTGTCTTCCTAGTCACTCTCCACTTTTTTCTTGGAGACAGGTTCTCTCACTGACCTGAGAGCTCACTGATTGGTTAGACTGGCGAGCTCTAGGAATCTACCTACTCCCTGAACCCAAACACTGGGATTAAAAAAGCATGTCACTCAGCTTTTCTGTGGGTGCTGGGATCTGAATCCAGGTGCTCATACTTCCATAGCAAGCACTTTACCAACTGAGTCATCTCCCCACCTCCCCTATATAAAATGTTATAAATGGTTTTAATGGTATGCAAGATTTCTTAGTGAAAATCTCTCTAGCTATAGAAAATTTTTGGTTAAGGGCTGGGAGACAGCTCAGTGGGTTAGGCACCTGCTGCCAAACCTGACAACCTGAGTTTTGACTCCTGGCACCCACATGGTAGAAGAAGGGAACTAAGTTCCTCCCTCCCTCCTACTCTCTTTCCCTCTGTCCCTCCCTCCCCTTCTCTCTCTTCCTCTCCTTCTTTCTCCTAGAGCCTTGATGCTGGGCAAACATTCTACCAGTGAACGACCTTAGCCCTTTCATTTTAATTCTCAATGCAAGCATATGGTTAGAGATACAGAGGGAAAAAGGATGGCTTCACTATAAGTATGAAATATAATTAGTTTTAAAATAAGATAATGGGGCTGGCAAGATGGCTCTATGGGTAAAGGTGCCTGCTGCCAAGTCCAATGACCCGAGTTTGATATGTGGGTCCCACATGGTGGAAGAGAACAACTCCTGCAAGTTATTATCTGATTTCCACACATCCACCGAGCACACCTGTGCATATGCATGTACATACACACACACACTTAAATAAATACATGTAAAAACCTTTTTAAAATGAATTAATGACTACATACTAAGCTGTAATGGACTTACTTAATGGAATATTATCTGCACTTAGTCCCCCAAATAGGAAAAGTTTATCATCAGCTATTGCTGTTAAAGTATGCCATGACCGATGTTTTGGGCTTTCTCCATTAACAGAAATCCTGTAGTAAGGGGAAAAAAATTAAAATCCAACTCTATGTTATTCAAAATAAAAATATTTTTATCATCTCAGGGAAGGGAAGGGAAAGAGAAAGAAAGGAACACTTCAGTTAAAAAGCATTTAACAGGGGCTAGAGAGATGGCTCAGTGGTTAAGGACACTGGTTGTTCTTGCAGAAGACCCGGGTTTGAATCCCAGCACCCACATGGCAGCTAACAACTGTCCATAACTCCAGTCCCAGGGGATCTGACAGCCTCTTCTGACCTCCTCGGATATTGCACGACACAGGTGCACTTTCCTACATGCATACACATAAAATGAAAATAATAAATAAAAATTTTAAAAAAGCACTTAACCACAAAAACATGTTTTAAAGGAGAATGCTATTATAACCTTGTCCTAGCAATAAGAAACAATGCTAATTTGCCATATATGTTTTAAGACTTTAATATAGATGTGAGTTGCTTACTAAGAATATATAAATGGGATCATATATCTTCTGTAAGTTTCTCACTCAGTATGTTGTATGACATTCCTAGAGACTCCAGTGTCTTTTGGTGATGGAGATTTGGCAGCTCTCTGGGAAAATATACTGTGATAGTTAAAATCCATACTGGGGGACTGGAGAGATGGCTCAGTGGTTAAGAGCACTGGATATTCTTGCAGAGGACCCGGGTTTGGTTCCCAGCACCCACATGGCAGCTAGCAAACCTCCATAACTCCAGTTCCAGGGGAATCTGACGCCCTCTTCTGACCTCCATAGGCATTGTACAACAGGGGTGCACTTACATACATGCAAGCAATACACTCACACAATGCCTATTTATTATTTTTATTTTAGTAATAAAAATAATAAATAGCCAGGCATGCTGGCACATGCCTTTAATCCCAGCACTTGGGAGACATACAGGCAGGCAGATCTCTGTGAGTTCCAGGCCAGCCTCGTCTACATAGCAAGTTCCAGGCCATCTGGGGCTATGAGGAGACTGTCTCCATGGAGACTGTATCTCAAAAAGACCAAATAATAATAATAATAAATAAAATATTTTTTTAAATCCATACTGGTAGACATGAGGGTTGACCTCAAGCTTTGACTTGTATTAATAAAGTTTCAATAAACATCTTTTTAAAAATTTTATGCATATGAGTGTATGGCCTGCATGTAAGGTCAGAGGTTAACCTCAGGTGTTGTGCCTCAAGAGCTGTCTGTCCACTTAGTTTTTTTTTCAGACAGGGTTTCTGGAACCTACCAATTTGGCTAGACTGGTCAGTGAGCCCTCAAAATCCATCTGTCTTCCCAGAGCTGCAGATTAGAAGCATGTACCACAATGCCTGGCTTTTTATGTGGCTCTGAGTATCTAACTTGGGTCCTGGTGCTTACAAGGTAAGTACTTTCCTGACAGAGCCAATCTCCCCAGTCCCTCATGACTTTTGGTTTTTTTTTTGCTTTTTAAAAAAATATTTTATTTATTATTTTTATGTGTATGAGTGTTATGTCTGCATGTAGGTAAGCGCATCTGTGTTGTGCAATGCTGGAAGAGGACAGAAGAGGCTGTTGGAGCCCCTGGAACTGGAGTTACAGACAGTTGTTAGCGGCTATGTGGGTGCTGGGATTCAAACCTGGGTCTTCTGTAAGAACAAACAGTGTTCTTAATGCTGATCCATCTCTCCAGCCCCATGGTTTTGTTTTTTAATAGTACTTATATTTTAAACTTTTTTGATTTATTTATTTTTATTTTATGTGTATGGGCATTTTGCCTACATATATGTAAGTGCGCCTCATGCATGCAATGTCCATGGAGGCCAGAAGAGGACATCAGATCTGCTGAAAGTGCAGTTATAGATGGTTGTTAGTCACCACATGGGTGTTGGGAACAGAACCTGGGTCCTCTGAAAGAACAGTCAGTGCTCTTAACTGCTGAGCCATCTCTTCAGCACCTACTTACACTTTATAATTATATATATATATAATTCCATTTTATTACATGAATATCCAAATTAATAGCTAAATAAATGTATTCTATTGTTAAACAATATTGTGAGCCATAAATAAAACCTGACTTTTACCCACTGAATAGGTTCTAGTCATGTGAGAGAAGTCTGTTCAGCCATTCTGCTTCCAGTGACAAGTCTCCAAAGAATACTTAGAAAACCAATACTTTTATATAATCAGTTTTCAACGAGAGAGAGAGAGAGAGAGAGAGAGAGAGAGAGAGAGAGAGAGAGAGAGAGAGAAAGACTGACATTTTACATTCCTTATTTAGACATATAATCTAAAGAAAAAATAACTGCTCAGTTTTGAGACCCAGTTTGGATTAAAGCTGCACACATGCCCATACATACTCCTACAGACGGGAACACAGACTTCAAACTTACCTTCCAGACCAAATCCAGGTGTCCAAATTTAGATAATGCAAGTCATTCATCCTAGTTTGCTAAAATAAAAACATGTTAATTAGACGGTGTCTTATCTCTTTTTATGGAATAAAATGTTAGCTTTAAAACAAGCTCAGATCAGTGGGGCTGAAGAGATGACTCAGTGGTTAAGAACACTGGCTGTTCCTGCAGAAGACCCAGGTTCAAATTCCAGCACCCACATGGCAGCTAACAACTGTCCGTAACTCCAGTTCCAGGGGATCCGACAGCTTCTTCTGTCCTCCAGGGCATTGCACAACATGGATGTACCTACTTACATGCAGGCAATACACGCATACACATAAAATAAAAATAATAAATGAAATATTTTAAGACAAGTTCAGATCAAGTATAACTTGCCTCTGTTCTACTTAGCATTGACGTCTAAACACCGGGAATCAATTCTAAGCATTAAGAAAATTAATGTGGAGCGCCCAGATTAATACCGCAGAGGGAAAAGGTCAGTTTTAAACTAACATGGCTTAGACAATAGGAAACGAAACATTTCTGATACAGTGCTGAAGGGAAGGAATCTCCTCATTAAAATATGATGTAAACTATCCATGACAGCCTGTGGATGGTCCATTTGGAAAACAGAAGATGACTAGAAGTATTAGATGCCATTTTAATCTCTAGATTATCTGAATGTTCAACAGTTCCATAAAATCAAAGGGCAAGTTTTTATAAGCAACAGGCATGAAAATATCATTTCCACTAAAGGCACTAACCAAAACACGTCCGCCAAAGACATAGCCTTTATTTCCAAGAACTGCACAGGAATGCGCGGCTCGTGGCTGCGGTGGAACGCCACCCTGCAAGCAGAGATCAGAGAGAGGGCAGGCTTGAAACATCTGTAACAGCCACATTCTTATGCTCAGTCATAATCACACAAATAAAATGTGTTCCCTCTGTCCTCAAATGCATAACACTCTAACAAAACAAAAATTCATAAATTTAGCTTGAAATATAAGGATTTAAATATCAAATAAAAAACATCTCTCAGCCAGGCATGGTGGTGCATGCCTCTAATCCCAGCACCTGGGAGGCAGAGGCGGGAGGATCTCTGTAAGTTCAAGGCCAGCCTGGTCTACATACTGAGTTCCAGGTCAGCTGGGGCTACAGGAAGACCCTGTTTCAAAAAGACCAAAGTAAGTAAGTAAGTAAGTAAGTAAATAAATAAATAAATAAATAAATAAATAAATAAATAAATAATAAATAAAAAGTAAATAAGTAAATAAATCTATCTCTCCTCTCCATCTGCCCCCCACCTCTCTCGCCTCCTCCCACCTCACCTCTCTCCCTTTCTCTCTCCTTTCTTTTGCACACACACACACACACACACATACAAAGTTAATATAAGTCTCAGAGACTCCAAGAAATTACTTACATGTCCCAAACTCCTCAAATTCACAAAAACAACTTCACTGCTGTTTTAAATCAAATCAAACAAGTCCTTCATTTTTTTCCTAAATATCTTGGGTTGTTTTGCTTTTATTCTTGTTTTTTTATTCTTCCTGAAACTCTTATCATTAAAAAACACTTCTATATTTTTTACTTTGAATAAATACATCTGTTTTTTGTTTTTTTGTTTTTTGACACAGGGTCTTGGTGTATAGCCCACGTTAATTTAAAAATGCTCTGTGTAGTCGGGGCTGGTGAGATGGCTCAGTGATTAAGAGCACTGGCTGCTTTTGCAGAGGTCCCAGTTTAGGTCCCAACAACCACATGGCAATTAACAGCTGTCCATTGCTCTAGTTTCAGAGGATCTGACACCCTCTTCTGACCTCCACGGGCATTGTACAACATGGGTACATTTATACACATGCAGGCAATACACTCATACACATAAATTTAAAAATAGCCAGGCGTGGTGGCACATGCCTTTGATCCAGGCACTCTAGAGGCAGAAGAAGGTGAGTTCAAGGCCCCTGGTCTCCATAGTGAGTTCCAGGTCAGCTGGGGCTACAGGAAAACTCCATCTCAAAATGACCAAAATAATAATAACAATAATGATAATATTTTTAAAATAAATATAAATCTCATTCTAGCCCTGCTGCATGTAGGAATAGGAAATTTAAGCTGTGCACCCAGCATCATAACTTCCTAGACTTTTCAAGCTTACTTGAATAACTGTGCTGAGGTCCAATTGGCAATAAATAGTTAAAATTTTACTTCTATAAGACAGAAAAGGGAGCAAAGGGAAAAAGGAAGGGAAGCAAAGGGAAAAAGGGAAAAGGGAGCAAAGGAAAGCTCCAGACTGCTACTCATTTTCACAACCACCTTTTGTTCGTTTTTATGGTTCTGGGGACTGAGTACAGGACCTTGCGCATGCTCTCTCTTCTTTATTTTCTAACAAATCGATAACTGGTTTCAGTAGACTCAGTCTCAGTAATAGAAGTCTCCACCCACCTACTGATATGAAATCTCCTTAACAGAGCCAAACTTTTTGTATTCAATTAACAAAGAACACATTTTAAAATTCAAATGCTAGGGGCTGGAGAGATGGCTCAGTGGTTAAGAGCACTGGCTGCTCTTGCAGAGGACCTGGGTTCAGGTCCCAGCACCCACATAGCAGCTAACAACTGTCTATAACTCCAGTTCCAGGGGATCCAACACTTTCTTCTAGCCTCTATGGGCATTGTACGACATGGGTGCACCTACCTACATTCTGGCAATATACTCATACACATAAAAACATTAAAAAAATAGAATAAAATTCAAATGCTGATTGAAGAAAAACACAACTGACAACAAATATAAATGACATCTGGAATGGGGGTTAAAATTCCCTGTGTGGAAGAAGAGGAGCCAGCAGAATCAAACTGTGACCCTTCAGATTTTGCACAGAACCTCCTGTCATTTCTACCAACAGAAGTCGGGCTGTAAGAAGCTTCAGTGGTGTGTGCATCTTAACAGACAGTCTTAGCAGTCCTTTATGTTCCGTTCTCCTGAGCTACTCACTCAGTACTTTGCTTCCCTGAGGTAGACACATAACTCAAGATGGACCAGTCACCCTCTAGACAACCTGGATGCTATGAAGAATGGGAACATGCCCCAGCTGGACAGAGTTCTCTTCTCAGAGTAACTGGACCTTGAGAAAGTAAAACACAATGATCTGCTAGTGGAGCCAGTGCCCTATTTCTTCCTGAATGGCTCAGGCTGGTTACAGTAATGGAATGATGCACAAAGAGAAGCAGGGTGGACATGCTGAGCAGAGATGGAAAGTACTGTGATGTGGGAAAACCATGCTTCAGTTTCTGGGTGCTGATCCCTGTGTACTGCTTAAATGAATCTGAATTCATGTTTAGTTACTAGCAACAAACAAAGAAACAACAAAACCCCACAATATGGACAATGTATTTTGGTTGTGCTGGGACTGCATGCAGCTCTGATTTCAAGGACTTATAAAACACAGGGGTTGGGTTGGGAATACAGCTCAGTGACAGAGTGCTTGCTTAGCACAGATTAGGCCCTGGGTGGAGTCAAGAGGGCCAAGAGCTCAAGGCCAGCTTCAGCTATGTAGCAAGTTCAAGGTCTGCCTGGGCTACTCAAGGCCCTTTCTCAAAAACAAAAAAAAACAAACATAAACAAAAACATAAAGAATGATGCTGCCTCTTTAAAATATTTTTTTCCTAGAAAATCTTATGTGACCTAAAAAAGAATATATGATTTTTGAAAAAGTAAATGTTAACAGCACCCAAGATAACTTTTTTTTTGGTCTTTGAGACAGGGTCTCCCTGTAGCCCCTGCTGGCCTGAACTCACTATGTAGACCAGGCTGGTCTTGAATTCACAGAGATCTGCCTGCCTCTGCCTCCCAAGTGCTGGGATTAAAGGCCCCAGATAACTTCTTTGGGCTGGTGTGGTGGTTTATACCCTAACCAGGACTTGGAGGCAGAAGCAGGAAGAGTGTCCCAAGTTTGAGGCCAACAGAGGCTATATAGTGAGACTCCCACAAAACACCAAAGACAAAGAAAGGAGAGAGCAAGTGAGAGAGTAAGAATTGTTTAGCATGCACTTACCATCCCAACTACTAAAACCAAAATAACCTAGTAAGAAAATAGTTTAAGTGTATCAACGATGGCCAGGTGTGATGGTGCATGCCTTTAATCCCAGCACTTGGGAGGCAGAGGCAGGTAAATCTCCATGAGTTCAAGGCCAGCCTGGACTACCTAGTGAGTTCCAGGTCAGCTGGGGATACAGGGAGACCCTGTCTCAAAAAAGACAAAAATAAAATAAACAACCCTCCCCAAAAAGAGAATATCAACAAATATTAAGGTAACATTTTTTTTCTTCTAGAAACATAAATGAGAATTTATCAGGAAAGGGAAACACTTATTTGAATGAGAGTGTGTTAGGAACAGAGACAGGGCACCCATTCCAAAAGTTTAGAGGCACAGTAACACTTACTTTAATTTCTGGTTGAGACCAAGTCTGTGTCTTTGTATCAAATACATGGACATCATTGTGCCACCCCCAGAATATCTGCTCTTCCTAAAACAAGAAAAAAACTTCTAAATATCTAAGAGCTTTAATAATTTCTACATTACTGTTAGAGTGGTCTGCATTTTTACTGGTAAAGTAACGGGCACCATACACAAGCAGGGTTCTGATCACCCACATCCCAGATAGCATTCCTCACAGGGCTGTAGTGAATCGGTTTGCTGGTTGACAGTCTTTCAGTTCTCTCAAAGGTTATAAGAAGTATCTCTTTTTCAGTTGCAGAGGACAGAATGATTATGTTTTGAAACTTATTGCAAACCTAATCTTTGCTATAATAAACTTTAGAGGGCTGTGGTTTCCTGTACTCAAAAATGTTCCAACCAATTGCTTCTATTTTACCAAGCAACCCCCCCCATTTTAAATGTTTTTCATTCACATACATTAATTATACATAATGGGTTTTATTGTGACGTTTCAGACATGTACAGAGTATTTGCCCCCATTACCCCTTCTTGTCCTCCCACTATGATCCGCTTCCTCTTCCAAATTAGTCTGCCTTCTATCTTCATCACTTTGTTCTGATGACCCAATGAGTGTTATTAGGATTACTTACAGGAAGATGGGTGAGAGGCTATTTATAGGAACATGGGTATCTTACCAGGAGCTAAATCATTGAAAAAAAAGTATCTCCTTCTCCCAGCAACTATTAACTGCCCAGAGATCCTCAGAGGGGTGAGGCCTCATGAGCTCCTGTCTAGCTACCATTAACTGACCCCTTCAGGCAGAGCAATGCTTCATGAGCACCTCTTCCATCTTTTTTTTTTTTTTCTTAATTTGAGACGGGGCTGGAGAGATGGTTCAGTGATTAAGAGCACTGGCTGCTCTTACAGAGGACCTGGGTTTGATTCCCAGCATCCACATGGTAATTAACAACTGTCTGTAACTCCAGTTCCAGAGGATCCATCCCCTTTTTCTGACCTCCATGGACACTGCATGACAGAATTGCATTTACATACAAGCCGGCTGTACACTCATACATACAAAATAAAAATGTAGCTCAGGCTGACCTCAAACTTATCACTGTCTTGCCTCAGCCTCCAGAGTGCTGGGATTATAGACATGTCCACCATGCATAGCTAGATGTTCTTCTGGGTCATAGCTTCTTGAACTGTGGGTTATGACCCCATATAGGGTCTTGTAACTAAATGAGGAGGTCGTAAAAATATGGTGAAAGTAAAAGGTTTCTGGGTACCTAATGACCAAAAACTAATTCAAAACTCAAAGAGATAATGAATTTGAGATATCTCTGGAAGTTTGCCTGTGTTTCAGCTTGTAACGTCACTGCAACCTTGCTTCTGAACACATGACCTATGCACTTCACAGTGTGCATCACACACCAACAAACACTGCCTGGAACACCTCAGCTCAGATCCAAGACCAATACATGCTATGAACTCTTTACTTACTGGAGGATGACCTTGAATTCCTGACTTGCTTACCTCTATTTCCCAAGTGCTGGGATTACAGGTATGCACCATGCCTTGTCCTAAGTAGTAGAGGGGATTGCTTTGTGCATGCTAGACCATGACTCTACTGAGCTACGTCAAGGCCAAGAAGTACAAAGATTTAATTATAAAAAAAACTTACTATTGTTATTCCTTAGAGTGTAAATACCTGCTTAGTATACCTTTAGCTTGTATGGTATTAGAATATGTGATTTTAAAAACTGCTGTTTGAGCTGTTGATTTGAGTTTCATAAAGATTTGTGAAGTGAAATGTGGTTTGGGGTTAGGGAAGAAATTCTGAAATGGCCCTAAAACATACTTTGGCCATTTTATATTATGTATTTATGCAGATCAGTATTCTCAGCACTGACCATTACAAAGTCAAAATATTGATCAACTCTGAAAAATATTGCAAATGTTCTGTATCTTCCAGTATCGTATATCCAACCAAGATTTAATTCTTTATGTAAAGATATATAAGCAAATCCATCTCCTTAATAAATGGTAGGGGCTGGAAAGATGGCTCAGCAGTTAAGAGCACTGGCTGCTCTTGCAGAGAACCAAGATTTGGTTCCTAGCACCCACAAGACAGCTCAGAAGCACTTGACACTCCAGTTCCAGGGGATCCAATACCCTCTCTGGCCTCAGCAAGCACACTGTATGCATGTGATGTACAAACATGCACACAGGCAAAACACTCATACATGTAAAATAAAAATAACAAATCTTTTTTGAAAAAGGTACTATTATGGGCTAGAGAGATGGCTCAGTGGTTAAGAGCACTGGCTGCTCTTGCAGAGGACCCGGGTTCAATTCCCAGCACCCACATGGCAGCTAACAACCAACCGTAACTCCAGTTCCAAGGGATTGGACACCCTCTTCTGACCTCTGCTGGGCATCGCATGACAGGGGTGCACTTAACACACATGCAGCAATACACTCATGCACACAAAATAAATAAAATAAAAGATATTATAAGTATACCAAAGATTCGTTTAAAAATTTCTTTATAATTTATTATCAGTAAATGATTTGTGTATCTTTTTCTTTTACATTTTTTTAGTGGGGAGAGGGCAGTCATGTGGAGGTCAGAGAACAACTTTCAGGCACTGGTTAGCTCCTTCCAACATATGGGCTCTGGGGTTGAACTCAGGTCATCAGGCTTCGAGGGAAGTACCTAATTTACCCTTTGAGTCATTTTGCCGGTAGGTGTACACCTATTTTATATACCTATATACCTGGGATCATGTAAAAATTTCTTAGGTGAGAGGAGAAGCAAGTAGAAAAGACTTAAGAAGCCCTGTTCTAGGTTAAACTATCTATCCATCCATCCATCCATCCATCCATCATCTATCTAGACTTGATATGTAGACTGAGCTGGCCTTGAACTCCCAGAGATCTGCCTGCCTCTGCCTCCTGAGTACTAAGATCGATGGTGTGTACCACCATGCCCAGCCTATCTTATTATCTTCTAAGAGATAAAACTCTTTGCCAGCAAGGGAAAGTTTTAGCAGTTGTAATGTATTTAGCATTCTCTCTTCCTCCTCCTCCTCCCCTCCCCCTCTCCCCCCTCCTCTTCTTCTTCTTCTTTGTCTCCTTTCCTCTCTCTCCTCTCTCTGCTATTTTTTTGTTTTTGATAGGATTTCACCGTGTATCCCTGGCTGCCCTGGTTCATGATGCAAAGCAGGCTGGCCTTGAACTTGAGCAACCCTCCTGCCTCTGCCTCCTAAGTACTGGTATTACAGGCATGTAAACCACACCTGTCTTGTATTTAGCCTCTGATAGACTGAAGTCCTCTCTCTATAAGAACTCTAGCTGTCTTTTATGCTAGTTTTATGCTCCATGTCAAAAATATATCATTTATTTGATGGTAATTGCTAAATAAGTAAATTAAATGATTTATTTAGCTTAGAAACTTGTTCTCCAAAAACATCAGAATGTGATCATCAGCGCCACTGTACCAGAGGGGAACACATGAGTGATCTTACTGTAAAGGTGGCTAAATGTAAACAAGTTATAGTCCTGAAAATGATTAGACTATTTATTTATTTGTTGTGTGTGCCTGCACCCGGCTCCCCAGGTGTAGGTCAGAGCACAGCTTGTAGGAATCAGTTCTCTCCCTTCATCACATGAGTTTCAGGAATGGAGCTCAGGTTTTCAGCCTCTGGCAACTGAGCCATCTAGCCAGCCCAGTTATACTTTAAATAGCAAAGTTTTAAAGCTATGTCATTTTAGAAATTCAAAAACAGGGCTAGTGAAATGGCTCACTGGGTAAAGGTACTTACCTCACAAGACTGGCCACCTGAGTTCACTCTCCAGAACCCACATAAAAGTGGAAGGGGAGCCGGCTGTGGTGGTGCACACCTTTAATCCCAGCACTCCGAAGGCAGAGGCAGGCGGATCTCTGTGAGTTCAAGGCCAGGCTGGTCTACATAGTGAGTTCCAGGACAGCTGGGGCTACAGGGTGAAATCCTGTCAAAAACAAAAACAAAAAACAAACAAAAAACAAAACAAAACAGAAAAACACACAAAAAGTGGAAGGAGAAGCCGGGCGTGGTGGTGCACGCCTGTAGTCCCAGCACTTGAGAGGCATAGGCAGGAAGATCTCTCTGAGTTTGAAGCCAGTCTGGTCACATAGTGAGTGAACTCTGCTACATAGTGAGACCTTGTCTAAAAACAGAACAACAGCCGGGCATGGTGGCGCATGCCTTTAATCCCAGCACTTGGAGGCAGAGGCAGGCGGATCTCTGTGAGTTCAAGGCCAGCCTGGTCCACATAGTGAGTTTCAGGACAGCTGGGGCTACAGGGAGACCCTGTCTCAAAAAGAAAAAAAAAAAAACAAAACAACAGTGGAAGGAGAGAACCAACTCTACAAAGTTGTTTTCTGACCTCCACATATATGCCATGGCGCACACACACACACACACACACACACACACACACTGAGAGAATAAAATTTTAAAAATCAAAAAACATGCTGAGAGCTGAGGGTGTAGCTTGGTGGTAGAAGCCTAGCTTCATAAGGTCCTGGGTGAAACTCCAGGAGCTCAAAACAAACAAACAAACAAAACCCTCAGAAACAGGGGGATTTTAATACTTTAAATAGAAATTTAATAAAATGTCCATATGCAGCAGTTATATACAATGCATATATATATATTTCTATTAAAATGTACAGTGATTCAGTTTTTTTTCTACTTTAGTTTGTTTGATTTTGGTCTTTTGAGGCAGGATCTTACTATGTGGCCTGGAACTCACTACATAAGTCATCTCCAGCTGGCCTCTGTCTCACAGATTCACCCACCTGCCTCTGCCTCCCAATTGTTGGGATTAAAGGCATGTACCGCGACACTGGGCAACAACATATTGTAGATAAGACTGAAAGGAATCTGTATATCATGGGGTAAGAGTATCTTAAAAAGATCTATTGTTGCTGGGCGTGGTGGCACACGCCTTTAATCCTAGCACTTGGGAGGCAGAGGCAGGCTGATCTTTGTGAATTTGAAGCCAGCCTGGTCTACAGGACAGCTGGGAATACGAGGAGACCCTGTCTCAAAAAAAGACAAAAAAAAAAAAAGAACTATTGTTATAAACTGGCTGTGGTGGCTCACAACTATAATCTCAGCACTCCGGAGGCTGAGGCAGGCATACCAGCATGGATTCAAGGCCAGCCTGGGTTATACAGTGAGTTCCATGGTAGCCTGGGTTACAGAGTGAGATCCTGTCTCAAAACAAAAGCAAAAAACAGCCAGGTATGGCACCTTTAATCCCAGCACTCTGCCTAGGCAGAGGCAGAGGCAGGCGGATCTCTGTTGAGTTCAAGGCCAGCCTGGCCTACACAGTGAGTTCCAGGCCAGCTGGGGCTACAGAGAGACCCTATCTCAAAAAAGACCAAAAATAAAAAAAATTTACATTTTATTCCTTTGTTTTGCCAATACTGATTTATTCTCTAATTAGTAAGAACAGTTCTGAAAAGTAATATCACTGCCCCCTCTTGCACTGCTATCCAGAAGTCATTCTGAGCCATGAATAACTCAGGTGGACATGTCTAAAAGGAGGTGTATGTCAGCAAGAGGCATTATGGTCAAACATAAACCAATTTCCCCAAGGTGTGCTAAAGCATCTACTTGTCTAGTAGAAGCAGGTACACGTAATTAATGACATAAACTAGGACCCAGTAACCACGAAGGATAATCCCTCTGAGCAAGAGAATCTCCACCAACAGGATCCAAATCTAAAAGGATAAAATACAGGTTTTTTTTTTCATAGTGTGAATTACAGCAAACTGGTAGTTCTTAAAATGAGAAAGATTAGAGTCATTATTTCTAAGGCTTAAAGGCAATGCAAAATTAAGAGGGAAAAATGAGATTATTTTCTTACCCAAGATGCATCATGAACATCAAAACAGTCCTGAAGTTCATTGTGTCTCCTGTACCCATAACCACCAAAATATATTAATCTGAAAAACAAACCCAAAAGGATTCACTTTAGGATTTATGCTTCTAGTGTGTTCACAGAAAGTTGGACTAGCTGGACATGGTGCCTCGTGCCTGCAATTCCAGCTCTCAGGAGGCTGAGACAGGAAGACTGTCTTGAGTTCACAGACAGCCTGACCTACATAGTGAGTTCCAGGCCAGTACCACAATGAGACCCTGCCTCAGAAACCATATACCTAAAAGAAAGTTTTAAATAGATCCCTTCTCTAACTCTAACCACCTAAATAAGCCAAATAATCTACACAATTATCGTTATTGTTTTTTTTTTTCAATCAAAGAGCTAGGGGCTGGAGAGATGGTTTAATGGTTAAGAGCACTATTTGTTCTTGTTGAGGACCGGGGTTCAATTTCCAGCACCCACATGGCAGCTAATAATCATCCATAACTCTAGCTCAAGGTAATCCAACACCGTCTTCTGGCCTCCCTGGGGATTTCCATGTGCAAGCAAATACTCATACACATAAAATAAAAATAAACCAGAAAAAGATTTTTTTTAAATCAAAGAATTGAAGAAAGAGACATAAATGATCCAATTCTAGAAAGTGACAAACCCACAGTAGAAGAGAACACAGCTGTTTTCATCCCTCACATAACGGCAAGAGGAAGAGGAAACCAGTACATACAGGACTTGTCAAGAAAAACCACCACATTTCTAAATCATATATGGGCTGGAACAGCAAGTTAGAATCTAAAGAAAACCAGCCACAGGGGGCTTGACCACACTTCTAACTCTTGGTAGTCTTTAGGGAGGGCTCAGGAAATATCATCAGAAGCTGGAAATAGGAGCTTGGGGTATAGTTTGGTAGCACAGTGCTGGCCTAGCATGTGAGAAGCCCTGGGTTGAAGCCCCAGAACTGGAGGGGGTGGGGAAAAGGCTGCAAGCAGAGCGCAGGTGAGTAAACCTCCTTGACACGATCTCACTTCTCTACTCTAAAAAGTTTGGGAGCAGACAAATCTATAGCTTGGGTCATTTGAGGAGTTTCAAAAGGACACACTCCCAGAGACTGTACTTTAATTGGGCTAGAAAACAGCTTGGTTGTTGATATTCAGATCTTCAGATGATTCCAGTGATGGACAAGTTTGGGAGCCATGTCACAAGAACAAAAATGAAAGGACTGGGTTTTTGTGTGTATGTGTGCATGTGTGAAGTCAAGGTGGATGGTGGCAGATACAGGAAAACAGACCTTTCATTTGATTCAACATGATTTCAACTTTGAATCATGTCAATGTATAAGCTACCTAGAAATTTAAGTTAAATGAATTATTTAAAGTAAGCAATCAAAATAATGGGACTGGAGAGAGAGCTCAGCGGTTAAGAAGACTAGGGTTTGATTCCCAGTGCCCACATGGTGACTGACAATCATCCATAACTCCAGGTCTAGAGGGGTACAATGCCCTCTACAATCTCTGTGGGCAATGCATACACAGTGTACTTACATATAAAGCACTCATACACATAAAATAAAAATAAATAGGCCAGGAGTGGTAACGTACACTTTTAATCCCAGCACACGGGAAGCAAAGGCAGGTAGATCACTGTGAGTTTAAGGCCAGCCCAGTCTACATAGCAAGTTCCAGGCCAGCTGGGATTACAGGGAAACCCTGTCTCACAAAGACAAAAAAAAAAAAATTAATTAAAATTAAAAAAAAAAAAATCCAAGCCAGGCGTGGTGGTGCACGCCCTTAATCCAAGCACTCAGGAGGCAGAGGCAGGTGGATCTCTGTGAGTTCAAAGCCATCCTGGTCTACATAGTGAGTTCCAGGCCAGCTAGGGGCTACAGGGAGACCCAGTCTCAAAACAAAAAACAAAGAAACAAAAAAAAAACCCAAAATAAATTTAAAAAATTTTTAAATCCAAATAAAGTTCATTCTCCTGACACGTTATAAAAGGTTTTAGAACTGCTGTTACCACTGACATCAAAATAAGTCTATACTTGGGGGCTGAAGAGATGGCTGTGGTTGTGGCCGGCTGTGGTGGCACACGCCTTTAATCAGAGCACTCGGGAAGCAGAGGCAGGCGGATCTCTGTGAGTTCAAGGCCAGCCTAGCCTGGTCTACATAGTGAGTTCCAGGACAGCTGGGGCTACAGGGAGACCCTGGCTCAAAAAGATAAAAAAAAAAAAGAACACTGGTTGTTCTTGCAAAAATCCCAGCACCCACATGGCAGCTAACAACTGTCTGTTGTAACTCCAGTTCCAGGGGATCCAACAGCCTCTTCTGACCTCTGAGGGCACTGCATGACACAGATGCACTTACCTACATGTAGGCAATACATGCACACACATAAAATAAAAAAAATAATTTTTTTTTTGTCTTTTTGAGACAGGATCTCCCTATAGCTCCAGCTGTCCTGGAACTCACTATGTAGACCAGGCTGGCTTCAAAGTCACAAAGATCTCCCTGCCTCTGCCTCCCAAGTGCGGGGATTAAAGGCGTGCACCACCACGCAAAAATTAAAAAAAATAAGTCTATACTTATGTGTTATAAAAAGTTCATACTTTCGAGTTTCCTCAATTTTAGCTAAAAGCTGTATCATTACTTACAGGTGAAGAATGCATTAAAAGTTTAGTTGCTGTATTACCTGTCTTTATACACCCAGCAGGAAAGTTTATCACGTGGTGTGGGTGGTTGTCCTTCAAACTTGGTGATTTTTTCCCAAATGTAAGTTCCATCTCGCGTTCGTAAATTAACAAAGTAAAGCTTTTAAAAGATGAGACCATTATTAGCAGACAGGGCATCTGAAAACCAAATCTGAATCAGGGGAATCTGTGATTCAAAAATCAATGCTACTTTTATTTTTTAAACATTTTGCCAATTAGAAACTTAAAACTGAAGAATGAATGAAAACAAGAGTGTTTTGGAACAAAATGACATGTAAAAAAACATACTGAAATGGTCTTTTCCCATCCTGCTCCTGCTCTGGGTACCAATCAAGTCTCTGGCTAATTCTAAAGCAGAGATGTGGAAGAGGAGCAGGGCGGCTGCTTCTTCCAACTGTCTTTAAAGCCTAGTAATTACAGACTTAGGATGCTCTCCAGTTACCATCTTTTAAAAATATTTGCAAACTTGTGAAATGAAATGAGACATTAGGTATTACATTCGGTTGCATTCCTGAATTAAAAGAGAGGCTTACTCGGTTGCTGTATCCTTTGTCATCATAGCCTCCAAACACATACAGCCTTCCATTAATGCAAGCCCCGCAGCTTCCTGACATGGAGGTAGGGAGTTCTCCTTCCATTAGGTACATTTTCCTGTAGCAAGAAAGGCAGAGCAGCTCTTAGCGTTCCAGAAGGCAAATAAAGTTCCCGTTAAACTCTTGCTTTGTGAAAAAGCATCATTGCCAATCATAAAATTTAAAAAAATCACTAAAATGTAATTGTAGCTGGGTGTGGTGGCACACACCTGTAATCCCAGCCCTGGGAAGGCAGAGACAAGATTAGGAGTTGATGGTCTGTCTGGGCTACAAAGTGAGACCCTAATCTCAAAACAAAACAAACAACAACAAAAAAAAACTTAGAAGAGCCAAGATAAAGACTTTTCAACTTGTTAGAGGAAATAATCACAAAATTTTCACACCTGCCACCAGAACCAGGAATGAGTAGGGTAAAACAGCCTTCGGAGACACTGATGGTTTTGAGAAGAACGTAAGGGCAAAGTGCACAGGGGACGGGAGAAGGGGCAGAGTTGTAGAGTGGAACACCAAAAGAAAGGGAGGGAGACTTCATGAGTGTTGTAGGGATGTTCAAATTATGGTCTCAAATCTCTGTAGTCCATGAAACATTCATAATTTAGTAAAGTTGGAGATTCTGCAATTTAAAATTACTTACCATAACCCACTATCAATATCATAGGTCCAAATTTCATCATTAGGCAAATAGACTTCATTGTCTTCAATAGACTAAAAATACAGAATACATAAAATTATGGTTTTTTCATTATATTTTTCAATTACATAATAACGATTAAAATAGTTCAAGATGAGAAAAACTGAAATAAATGTTTAGAATGAAATAGGAGCCGGGCATGGTGGGTCGCGCCTTTAATCACAGCACTTTGGAGGCAGAGGCAGGCAGCTGTCTGTAAGTTCAAGGCCAGCCAGGTCTACATATCCAGTTCCAGGTCAGCTGGGGCTACAGGGAGACCCTGTCTCAAAAAGACCCCCGCCCCGAAAAAAAAGAAATAGAAAGTATATGAGAAAGAGACTCAGGGTTGTTAGATCTTCAAAAGGGGTTTGGAAGAAGGGGACGTAAGAAAACACTGAGAGTTACAGCAGAACCTTAAAGATTATTAAAAATTCAGGAAGAAGATGACCATCATTTTAGGCAAAGAGAAATAATTAGGGAAAAAAATATCTAAAAGATATACTGAAGAGCACTGGATCAGATTCCTTAGCTCACTGAACATTTTGAGTGCCTACTATATGCTAGGCAGTACTTCAGAGAATGCTTTACCCTGCTGATCCCAGTTCTGGTGACAGGTATGAGAATTCTGTGATTATTTCCCCCAGGAGGTTGAAAAGTCTTCATCCTCAATATTCTTAGACTTTCATTTGTGTGTGTAGGGGTGTGAGTCAGGGTTCACTTTGTAGCCCAGACAGCCTGCAACTCCTGTTCTTCCTGTCTCAGAACCCCCAGTACTGGGATACCAGGTGTGTGCCACCACATCTGGCTACAATTACATTTTAATTATAATTGGCAATGATGCAAGATAGATGTAATTAGTCAAAATGACAAACTAGAATTTGAACATTTTGTAAAGAACCCCATAACAAATAGGACATTCTGGCACTTATGATGAAAAGAGAAATAATAATAATATAATGGTCCTAGTTTAAAAACAGACTTTGGGGGCTAAAGGCTTGGGGTCTAGTTCACAGTGTAGCACATGAATTGCATTCACAGGGCTTTAGGGTCAATTCTCAGCACTCAGTGAATGAAACAAAACTTAGGGATTAAAAAATCCTTACATAAATCTGTCAGGACTTCTTTTTAAAACTATTTTATTATTTTTATTTTATGTGTATGAGTGTATTGCCTACATGTATGTAAGTGCATCCATGTCATGCAATGCCCAAGGAGGTCAGAAGAGGGCGTCAGATTCCCCTGGAACTCGAGTTACAGATGGTTGTTAGCTGCCATGTGGATACTGGGAGCCAAACCCAGGTCCTCTGCAAGAGCAGCCAGTGCTCTTAACCACAGAGCCATCTCTCTAGCCCCATGACTTCTTACAATCTACAGAACAATCCAAGACACCTAGTTCTAAAATAGTAGTTTAAAGATTTCTAAAACTGTATGACTTATAAACTTCTAACATGTTCAACAGATTAAGCTATTTCTATTGCTGATTGGATGGCTAAGCAGATTAACATCAGAAAAACTGACTTTAGCTCATTATTTAAAAAAATCCATCTTACTAGTGTTTCATAGGGATGATGCAAAAACATCAATGAAGCACAAACTCAGAGCTGACCTAGTTCCTCTGTACTTGCTTAGAGTCTTCACTCCCACATTAGACCTTCCTAAATGCAATTTTTTAATTGTGTGTGTGTGTGTGATGTGTGTGGTGTGGACAGGTGCCCTCAGAAGCCAGAGGTATGGAATCCCTCTGGAGCTGGAGTCACAGGTAGTTATGAGCTGCCTGATGTGGTGCTGGGAACCAAACTCAGGTCCTCTAGAAAAACAGGTAACACTCTTAACAGCCGAGCCATCTCCCCAGCTCAGTGCCTTCTTTTCTACATCTTTTCCTTAGCCAACTCCTATCAACATCCAAGCAAGCATGACTCATCCTTCATAGAAACCCACTCTCTGAACTTCCTGTCTTGCCATCTCTCTGCTTCCATCACTCAAAAACAAAGAAACCAACCAACCAACCAAACCATCAGTACTGAGTTCACTGCAGCAGTCATCTCCATTGCATCACTTCTCATTCTTATCAACCCTGTCCAATGACTTCTGAACTCAGCACTTTGTATATACTAAGCAAGCGCTCTACCAATTACGCTAGGCCAGTACTTGAACTTTTACCGCAAAATTTAATTTTGAGGACCACAAGAAGGCTCAGTGGGTAAAGGTGCTTGCCACCAAACATGAAAACTTGAGTCCAATCCCAGGATCCAATTGATGGAAGGAGATAACTGACTCCTGCAAGTCATCCTCTGACCTCCACACTCCCCCACAACACACATACAAATAAATAAATGTAAAATTTAACTTTGAACATTGTGAAATATGTATGTTTAATAAGTAGGGAAGCTGTGAAATGACTGAAAAATAAATCACATAATTTCTATGTAGATAAAAAGATGGAAAATGAACAAAACCTTCTTAATCCTCAAAACAAGTTAAGGAAGTAGAAATGAGGGTCAACAGAGAGATCATATAAGATATATTCAGTGACAGAAGTATGTCCGAATTAGGCTGGGTGTGGTGGCACAGGCCTGCAACTCAAGCACTTGCAAGACAGAGGCAGGAGGACAGGGAGTTTGAGGCCAGCCTGGGCTATATAGTGAGAAAGAAGTACATCACTATTAAATGAACTGAAAATAGGCAAAATTCTCCAGATAAAATAAGTAATACATTGAATAAGAATGAGATCTGGCTACATGCATTTTATAGAACACATATATAAAATATGATATAGTTTCCATCATAGGGTAGAAACAGCATGCAAATGCTAACTACAAGAAAGTTGGTGTCACTGTACTAATATTAGCAAAATAAGTTAGTTATAAGGCAAACAGTCCTACTACAGATAAAGAGGTCACTACAAAAATTAATACAATATTTATCCAGAAATACAAGAAAAATTTAAATTCATGTGTACCTTAAAAGGCAGCCCCAAACATATATATATAAAGCAAAAACTGGCTCCCTGGCCTCAGGAAAAACTTAACAAATTATAAAGTGGGAAATTTTGATATCTATTACAGTGATTGACAGAACAAAAGACAGAGATATAACTCAATGGTAGAATGCTTGCCTAGTACACACAAGACCCTAAGTTTGATACCCAACACTGAAAGAAAAACAAGTATTAAAGCCAGCAGACAAAGATAAAGGTTACAGGAGATGTAAACAATACAATTTACAAAGCTAATAAAATGTGCACATATGGAACAATTTATCTAATAATGAGAATGCATTTTTTTTTAATCTTTTTGAGACAGGGTCTCACTGTAGCTCCAGCTGCCTGGAACTCACTCTGTAGACCAGGCTGGCCTTGAACTCACAGAGGATCTGCCTGCCTCTGCCTCCCAAGTGCTGGGATTAAAGGCCTGTACCACCACACCCAGCAAGAATACATATTCTTTATAAGAACAAATGGCAGCCGGACATGAAGCCTAAGCTAAAGGATGGCTATCAGATGGCTATGGATCACATTTCCTGAGTGCAATACCAATAGTTGGAAATTATTAAAACAAAGCTAATTATAAGAATACAAAATGTTGCTGGGCGTGGTGGCAGACACCTTTAATCTCAGCACTTGGGAGGCAAAGGCAGGCAGAGTTCTGTGAGTTCAAGGTCAGCCTGGTTTACATAGTGAGTTCCAGGTCAGCTGGGACTACAAGGAGACCCTGTCTCAAAAAGACCAAAAAAAAAAAAAAAAAAAGAATATGTTTAGAAACTTAAGACTGTTTCCTTAAATAACATAGGTCATATAAGGAATAATAGAAAATATAGAATATTTAGAAGTACAAAATAAAATATTGCTTACTTATAGCTAAAAAAGTACTTAGAAGAAAATTTACAGCCTCATTTATATTAATAAATCAAAAAGTTTCAAAAACAATGAGTTAAGTAACTTCAGAAATTCAAGAAATAGTCAGGCCTGGTGATACAAGTCTGCAGTCCCAGTTACTTGAGAAGCTGAGCCAGGATAGTAAATTCAAGGTCTGCCTGGGCTAGAGAGTGAGTTCAAGGCCAGCTTGACCAGTGTGAGACCCTTTCTCAAAATAAAAGTACAAAGAGGGTTTGGGACATAGCTCATTGGTAGAAAGTTTGCCTTGCAAGGCCCTGAGTTCAATCCTCAGTCCTGGAAAAAAACAAAAACACCAAGAAGTTCAAGAAATAAAATAATAAACTGGGTGTTGGGGGGTTAGACCTATAATTCCAGTACTTGGGAGACAGTGGCAGGAGAATCACCACCAGTTCAATGCCAGCCTGGTCTATATGCTGAGTTTCAGGCCAGTCAGGACTACAAAGCAAGACTCTGTCTCCCCAAAACAAACAACAAAAAGTCCACCATAATAAACCTACAGAAAGCAGAAGGAAACAAAAATAGATATTAATAATAAAGAAAAATACAACAAAAGGCAGATAAATTTCCAGCAATATTATTCTAGGGAGAAAAAGGGAAGTCACTAATAAGCAGTTTTAGTAGAAAAGTACGCACATGTACAGCCACTACAGAGATTAACCAGAGGGTATTATAAACAATTTAGGTTTGTGCCAATGCATATGCCGTCTCATGAGGTGGATATCCCAAGGCAAGGAGAATGGTATCAAATGTGACTAGACAAAAACATGGAAAATTTGAACAGTCTTATAGCATTAAGACTGAGGGAGATTTAAAATCTTTACCATGGAGCTGGGGGTAGTGGTACAGGCCTGTAATCCCAGCACTTAGCAGGTAGGAGGATCAGGAGTTTTCAAGGTCATCCTCTGCTACAAAGATAATTTAAGGCCAGCCTGGGCTACGGAGTGAGTTGATGTCTTATTCTCCCTCTCACTCTTGCAAAACCCCTCAAACCAAACCAAAGCAACAATAAAAATGGACTAAAAAGGTTTAAATATGGACGGCAAAACTAAGAAATGTTTAGAAGACAGTAATGGACACTTGAGATAGAGAAAATACAAAGCAATGAAGAAAAGATTGAAATTATATTAAAATTAATAACTT